CTCGACCTCGTCCCAGCTCGCCGCGCCGCCGGCGCCACGCTCGCAGATGGTGCCGTAGAGCGACCGCGGGTCGGTGTCGTGGACCTTCCCGGACACCCGGCGATGCGCTCTGCCCCACGCGCGGCCTACAATCGAGGTACGACCAGAAGGAACGCCAAGCGACTCCCGCCACGGTGGGCCTAGGCCACAAGCAACTCCCGCGACATCAATCTGAGACACGACCCAAATCCCAGAGCCTCTTCCGAACCCAAAGCGGTCCTCATATCGGCATCTTGGCGGCAGAGGTCTCGACCCCTCTTCCCGGGGACTAGTGCTCCGCCCCGACTCCACGTTTGTCGGCGGTGGACAAACCTCCCTTTAGCAAACCTCCCCTTCGTGGAAACGGCCTGGGACCGAAACCGAGGGACCTGGACCCGCAAAAATGACGGCCGCGACGCTCTCTCCCGAACCGAAAAGGGCTACTTCCTTAATCGACGTGTCAGGGTAGGAGGTCTATCCACCTCCGAGTTCGAGGGCCCTGGGGCTCGGAACGGGACCCCAAAGGCCGACATTCGGTGGCGAAGGGCAGGCCCTCTCAGAAGGCGGCGAGCCTTCTGAGGGCTCGCCTTCTCCGGAGACACATCCGCCCTTTGTTTAGGCCTGCCTCCTTCTCTTCAACCCTCCTCCTCCTCGGAAACGCGGAAACACGGAAACAATGAAACCCTCCATGTGAGCACAACTGAGATTAAAAGAAAACAAAAGAAAGAGGAGGGCAAGGGGGAATGAGGGGATAGAGAAGAGTAGAGAAAGACATTTGCTCCCTACCTACCTCGCTCCACGTCCTTGTGCGGCTAGTGGGGGGCGCCCAACAGGACGGCGATGCGGGTCGGGGCCTTCCTTCCAAACACCTGCACCCCCCATCAGTCCCCCTGACCTCCTGGGAAATCCTGCCCCCCCCCCTTCCCCAGACACCTGCCGTGGCTTGCGCCGTCAACAGGTGCATCGAATGGGCAATGGCGCTCAAGGTCGAGCGCACGAGGGAACCCTCATGAAGGATGCCTCCGTGCGACCGCTTAACTCGCACCCCATACTTCGTCTATGTACTGGGGCTTGTTTCACAATATTCAGTCCGACAGAAGCGTCTCGATAGGAATCGGCCTCGTGTCGGTCGCTCCCGCCCTCCACCCAATCATCGCCCCAACCCCCTATGCGGCCTTGCTGTGATGGTGCACCGCACCTCGTGCAGAGGACAGGGAGGGAAGGAAGAGGGGGATACATGAAGAAGAAACGGGGGAAGAGGCTTCGTAGAGCTCTGGGCCTACAGCGTGGCATGAGATTGGAATGATGAATCCTCTGGTGGGCCTTGTGCGGCAAGCCTTTGACCCAGACCCCCGCCTGACAACGTCGCGGCTTATCTGGGCGGCGAGCGGCATGAACAACTCGGTGAGAAAACTGTCTTACCATATCATGCGCAAGTGTGTTTCCGGAAGTACATCCAGCCCAATTTTTACAACTCGACCAGGGCGAAGGGGGGTAACTCGGGGCCCTCCAGATCGAGGGAGCTTGCCTTTGAGCAACCTCCGGAGCTCAGAAGCTCGCGCGAGCATGGTTCCGCGACCTTTTGGTGGCGTTTGCCGCGGGTGAAACCTCCGCGCGAGCAGCAGAAAGTTGCAGGGGGCCTGCTGCCTACGATAATACAATAAATTGCATGGCCTGTTGAAGGTCCCTGGCTGAGGCGGCCATCTCTCTGAGCTTACACGGGCGCTGGCTCGCAGGGGGCCTTTCGATCGGGCGCTCGCCGCTTCAAGGCATAACCTGCAACGGAAAGAAGACCCTGGCCACGCGGGTTCGTGCTCCACGACGAATGGGCGCGGAGCACGCCCAGGTGGTTTCTTCTGGACGGTCGGCCAAATCTCTTTGGCGGGCGGCCATGTGCCTAAGACCTTGCCCACTGCAACCGCTAGCTCCTGATAAGTCTGGAATAAACTCGAACTCTATACACCGACGTTTCTTCCGGCCCTGCAGAATTTGCACTGGGGAGCGGATCCAGGTGTATGCATTTTTTGTTGTTTTCCTGGGACATCGGAACAACAAGTATACACCACACCGCCCCGACGTCGTCCCCAACCCTCAAAAAGTCCTGGGATTCAGAAGCGGCCCGCCACTGGCAATGCATATGTCCCAGCTCCCGATGGAGAGCCTCCTCCCTCGCGGAGGCTTCCTGGTAAGTCTGGAGAGTCCTGATAAGTCTGGAGAGCCTCGTGATAAGTCTGGAGAGCCTCCTGATAAGCTTGCCCACTGCAACCATTAGCTCCTCATGAATCTGGAGAGCCTCCTCACGCGCGGAGGTTTCCTCTGGACGAAGGGCGCGCGCACGCGCGGCCTGGCCCGCGTGCCGGTCGGCCGCCCCGCTTCCCTGCATACCTGTGGCACCGGCAGCGTCCGAGACAGCCTCTTCGCTGCGATGGGCTCTCGTTTTCCGGAGCTCGGCCCGCGAATCCGCGGGGGGAACAGAGGCAAGCTCGCGCCAACAGGTCGCGCGGGTGCCAGTGCCCTGAAGGGGCTCTCTCTCTGGCCACAGATGCCCCTTCACGAGGGCTGCGCAGTCTACGATCATCGGGGCAGTGCGAGGGTTCTCCGACCGCTCTCTCCTCCCTTTGCGTGCGCGGCTGAGATTCGCGGGGCCAGGAGTTGGTTTCTAAGGTCCTGGGCCTAGGGGCAACGCCGTGGCCGATGATGAACAGTGTCGAGTTCACCGCAACACCGGCATCTGCCATCGAATTCAAACAAACACCCCCTTGACCAGCACGTCGGACACGCCTGGCCTCTTCAAGCGAGACATTTTTGCGAGCTGTCTTAAGAGTGCGGTGGGAAAAGGTCCCGCCACAGGCCTCGCTGTCCAATGGGGCATTACTTGGGCACCTTCGACCTCGCAAAATGCTGTGCCAACTTGTCTTCGTATTGCCGCGCAAATTCGACTGAGGTCCAGCGAGGCGAAATTTCGAAGATATTAGAAATGGAATGATTACCTGTATAGAAAATGAGTGGCACCTGGCGCTTGCCATCCGGTCTCGCGGATCCATGGAAGCATTTGTGAGACTGGGCCCGAGGACTTGGCTGGCCAAGTTTTGATGTTCGTGGTCTCGAGTCCAACCTCGGCGACGTCGAAAACTTGTTCTAGCTTCTTGGCAGAAAACTTGTCCGCATGCGTTTTGAATTCAGGCCTCGTTGAACTGGCCGACCACCATTCGAGGCACCGCGTGTTGGCTTCGGCCCGCTTGACGTAGCGCGGCGAGACCGACGCTGCCAGTCCTCGGAGTCTCCTGATTTCGCCAGGCGCGAAACCCAGAATGAAAGATCCGTAATGCATGGTGGACGTGGCACCTACAAAGAAGAAGCGGATACGTTTTGCCTGCGTCTTTTGGTCCTTAAGCCGCTTGATCCGATTGCCCCTGGCAGTTAGATGGATCCAGCGCGTGTGACGAACAGCGTCTGCATCCCTGTGTTTTTGTTTGTTTTTGCCCGCCGAAAATCTATTCCCAGATTAGTCCAGTCCCAGCTGCAGTGCCGCCTGAGTCTCCCAGGACGCCCTTGGCTTTCTGAAGTCGGGCTGCAGAGGACGCCATCATGCTGACTTTAGGGTAACCAAAATTAAAGACAAATTGTCAGTTCCCTCCTTCATCCTGGACGCTAAGTCGACAAAAGGTTTCCAATCAGTGAAGCCTGCTCTGAGCTCTGAGACCAGGCCGACAAAGTGAGAACATCAATATGGGTGCTGCTGCCCGCATTACCTGCCGTGGTGCTGGTGATGAGCGGGTGCACGTATACTTTCGCCTCATACGTTGCCGGCGATGTCCCAGACACGATACCTCTGCACTGCTGCAGTGGGTTGGAAATCGAGCCTTCCAGCAACAAGCGACGAGGCCATCGATGCGCGTGGAGGGAGTATAGCACTACGTGCATCGGGTGCTGTACCTGCTGAGCATGTCGAAACAGTGCGGCGTGGTCGAGTGTCTCGTAGGATGCCTTCAAATCCTATAGGGGTGCAATGTCGCGCATCTTGCGCGAGGCCGCCCACTCAACGCGGGTCGCCTGTCTCCACGCTGTGTCCTCTGGGCTGTGAGCCTGCGAAACCGACCTAGGGAATCCGTGTTCTGCCTCCCACGACTTGCAACGACGAGACAACAGCTTACCGTGAATCATCTCGAGCCCCCGCTAAAGAACCAAGGCATCGTCGCCCTCCTCTTTCATGTTTGGGTGCGAGTAGGATTTGCAACAACTAGCACGCTCGAGGGGAAGCGCCGACCATGTCCATAAGTGTGTACATGCGTGAAATCATGTCCAGCGCCTCGTCGCTTATCGAAGAGAAGTGGCGCGGGTGGAAGCCGTCTTGCGTACAGGCCCTCTGCTTGAAATTGTATGCAATATCATGGAGAGCTTCTGGAGGAGCACGCTCAGGGACAGTGTGCAGCAAGCGTTCGCGAACAATGCGGGGCGTCTGGAGAGGGCCTGAGCTGGGCCTCCCACTTTGCGGACCAATTCTCCAAAGGAGCCTCCCGCTGATGAGGCACAGAAAATGTACACTCCGCTTCGGATATTACCTGTTCGGCATCGCGGTCTTCCTTGCCTTTGACATACTTGTAAACCACACCATCGCTTACGCTGTCACACCAATCAGCCCTCTGCTGTCGCTGAGCTGCTTTATCCTTGCCGCCGTGTCATCGGGAGCATCTTGTCAAGCTCCATGCTGTCTGGCACATCCACTACGCTGATCTTGAAATCCCCTCCCAGAACTACAGAGTGACCATTGCTATAGATGTCCTGGTCGATCGTACGCATGAGACTTATGTTGGCCCCGCTGAAGCCTATGCGACCGTAAAAGTATATACAGTGTATGCCGGTCACGCCAACTGTTTTTAGCCTGAGGTAGCAATTACACATGCAACCATTTGCCAACGACTGGTCCGCTGGCTCCGGGATCCAAGCGTCGAGGTGAGATTTGACTAGGATAATACCACCAGCCGGTGCTCCCCCCCTTTGGTCCAACGACTGCTGGGGAGCCAAGCACTTTCCATCCCTTGGTCCGTAAAGACGACGACTACCGGGTAGCAACTTGTGCTCCTGAATCAGCAACACATCGACGGAATAACGGGCCAACTGCGGAAGCAAACCGGCCGCTGTGCCCTAAGATGAGACAGTCTGGCGGAATGAGTTGCTGAGCTGGCGGAGGGTGTGCATGTTTGAACGAACTGGCCCCGGATTTCCAGGGACAAGTTGACCATGTTGCGGAAGTCTTCAGTGTCGTCAGGATCTCCATGTCCCTTGACACCTGTTTTGGACTCTTCCATGTCCTTTTGTACCCCGTCGTCTCCACCTCCACCAACTCCTGCTGCTGGAGCCGCTGATGTTGTTTTTCCTCCTGCCTCTGCCTCTTCTGTTTCCCTGGCATAAAGGTGACATTCCTTGGCTTCTTTGTCGTACTGCTCCATGAGCCGCATACAATCAGGGTGTGCTTCGACGACTGCTTGCCATATGTCCAATCTGGACGAGAGCAGCCGAACCTGGTCCGTGATGTCGTTATCGTCGTCGTACTCCTCCTCTTCGTCGTCACCCCGATAGTTATTCCAGAAACCTCATCCTTTTCCTCCTTACTTGGGGGAGTCGCCTTGGCGACCTCGGCATGAAGCCGGTCGATCTCCTCCTGGATATCTTTCTGCTCGTCCTCGGTATCCTGCTTACGTTTCCGCACAGCCTCCTATGCGTCATCTCATTCTTCAGATTCAGCGGTGAGCTTGGATAACTTGGAGGCCTGGCGCGGGAGAGGGAGTTCTGCGCGGATAAAGCGCACACTTTGGGGCATGTCGAACTCTCTGCTGTCACGGTACTCCTGCATACGGGAAACCAGCTGCTGTACAATGGACTCTGGGAGGTCAGAACTTTGGCTGTGGCCGTACTGCACGAGCTGGTTGAGGAGGGAGGGGCCACTAACATTCGGACGATGTGGTCCTGCTCCTCCTCCTCCCCCTCCTTTACCTCCTTTGCCCTTGAAGGGTGTGGTTCACCATTCTTGGCCTTTGCCTCCGCCTGAGAAACGGGTGGTGGACTTACTGTAGCCTTTACCTTGAATTCCTTTTCCTCCATCGTGCTTGCCTCCTTTGCCTTGGCCTCCTTGTCCTTTCCCTTTTGTGGGTCTCCAGTGCCTGTAAACCTTGAAACTCATGCCCCTGAAGGAGTACGCTCAACCGACAATAAAAGGACCATGTAGAAGACTGGACTTGAAATGGTAGCACGTGGTAACCACACCAACCGTCGGTGGCGCGATGCTCCCCGCAGATCCGAAATTTGAGCCCTCCCCCCATCCTCCTCCTCCTCCTCCTCCTCTACCCTACTCCTCCTCCCTCCTCCTCCTCCTCCTTCCTCCTCCTCACTCCTGTTCCGCCTCCTCCTCCCCCTCCTCACCCCCCCCCGTCCTCATCCCCTTCCTCCACCCCACCATCCTCCTCCTCCTCCTCCGCCTCCTCTCCTCCTCCTCCTCCTCCTCCTCCTCCCCTCCCCTCATCCTCCTCCTCTCCTCCCCTCCTCCTACTTCCTCCTCTCCACCTTCCTCCTCCCCTCCCCCTCCCCTCCCCCTCCCCCTCCCTCTCTTCCTCCTCCTCCTCCTCCTCCTTCTCCTCGGGTCGAGGCCTCGAAAACGAGTGACCCCTCAGACGGTGACCTCTTCGGAGCAGGCCCGCCCCCTCCGCCTGCCACCCCCTGGGAGCAGCCGACGGACGGGCCGGAGGAAACCCAGATGTCCGACGCTCCAACAATGGGGTCGGGCGAAAGGGGGGGATAGCAAAGGGGGGGGTTGAGAATCAGCTCACGTAGCTGATTTTCCCGGCGCCGGGAGGCGCCCATGTATCGAGGAATGGGCCTTTCGGTGAGGCCGAACTCAGCTGCACGCAGCAAGTTCCGTAGCCCCCCTTTTCCCAATCCCCCCTTTCGCCCGGCCCGAAACAACATCGGAGGAAACCCAAATACAGTCGGGGCGTTGACCTAAGGAACCCTAAATAAGAAACGAGGCCCCTTTTTTCCATAAGTTAACCTCCGGTTTCCTGTCGGAAACCTAAGGAAAGCCTGAGGCAAGCTGTGAAACACTTAAGGAACGCGGAGCCCCTCCCCAACGAAAAGGGTTCCTTCTTCAACGCCCCGACTGTATCGGAGGAAACCCAAATATCCAGCAACAAATGGAGCGGCGGGTTCCTGGCCCCGGCTTCGGCCCGCGGGGCCCTTTGCCAGGCCCCAGTGGACCGTCCGAAACGACACACAGGACAAGAACACACCGGCCTTGGGGAAGTGGAGGAAGAGGAGGAGGAGGAGGAGGAGGAGGAGGAGGAGGAGGAGGAGGAGGAGGAGGAGGAGGAGGAGGAGGGGGGAGCCGCGTGGAGTGGGGCGATCGGCGTGCTGGGTATCGCTCGGACGTCCATGCCCTGTGCTTTTTTCGGTTTCGTGCGTGGCTTTTTTTCGCCAAAAAGGTCAAGGATGCTCCTCGATGGCCCTCGCCGAAGGAAAATGGCACACGTCCGAGCGATGCCAAGATCTGGGGCCCACGCACCGAAGAAATGGGGGCAGGCGGCTTTCTGGGCTGGGGTCCATGTCGATCCGATCGCTCACTATCGATTCGTAGCACCCCGCAGCTGCGGCTCTGCGTGCAGTCATCGTGCTACCATGAGGAAGACCGAGCAGGGAACGAAGGGGTCTTTTTCGCCGTGGCGAGCCTCGGCCACGACTGGGTTCACCGACCTGGCTCTGAGGAACGACCCGGAAACCGTAGCCCCTCCCGAGCCCAAAGGGGTCCTTCTTCCAACGTCTTGGCTGTAGCACTCCATTTCGATCCGATCGATCCGAGTCGATCCGATGCGATACGACAGCGGCCGGGGGGGGGGGGGGGGCAACGAGCGGCGGCGGCGGCGGCCAACAGCGGGTAACATCTGAACGGGGTAATAGACCCACCAGGGGCCCCAGACGGAAAGACTGCGACGGCCAGAACAAGACTCTGCACTGGAGATTTTCTGCAACGCGAGAACTGCACTAGGGTGGTTATGCAACTAAATGCGGACACAAACTGCAAACAAGGCCCACAGACTGGGTAGCACTGAGCACAACATAAAAAATGCAGTGCGACAGCTGGAAATTTCTTACGCGGACAGCATGTTGCAGGTGCTGCGTTGGACGAGACAACCGCAACAACTGCACTGCAACAAAATGCGGGTTTGATGACTCGAACTGGCCGTTTCGTGTTACTCTGGCTCACTAATCTCTTGACCCAAATCAATCTATACCCGGGTCACTCAGGATCCTGCAGAATCCTGCAGAACCTTGCGCCCAAGCCCAGGTCAATGCACCCCTGGCCCTGCAGGATCCTCCAAGGTCCGGCGCTGTGACTGACCCCCGTTTGCGTTGACCCCCGTCTCTTGAGCCCTGACCTGACCCCGCCTCTGCAAAGAAGGGAGGCGGGGCAGGAGGGAGGACGGAGGAGGGATGAAGGAGGGAGGGAAGAAAAAGGCGGGAGAAGGGAGGAGGGAGGGAGGATGGAGTAGGAGGAGGAGGGAGGGGGGGGAGGGGAGGGGAGGTGAGGAGACGGGTGGGGAGGGGAGGGGGGGGGGGGGGAGGGAAGGGAAGGGGGGAAGGGGAAGGGGGCGGGGAGGCAGGGAGGGAGGGAGGGAGGGAGGAGGAGAGGAGGAGGAGGAGGAGGAGAGAGAGAAGGATGATGATGAGGAGGGAGAGGAGGATGAGTGAGGAGGAGAAGGAGAGGAGGAGGAGGAGAAGGAGGAGGAGGAGGAGGAGGGGAGGAGGAGGGAAGGAGGAGGAGGAGGAGGAGGAGGAGGAGGGGACGGAGGGATGGAGGGAGCGAGGGGAGGGGAGGCAAACTAGGTGCGCTCGCGTCATATCTGACATCCAACCCCTCCCTCCCATCCCTTACCATGGCGCAGATCCCCTCTCTACTCGCACAGTCGGATGTCGAGCAGGGCAATGATCCCCAAAGGGTACGCGATGTATTGTAGAGCGCGGCATGGCATGGCGTAGAAGAGCACCGCGAAGCGTAGTATCAACCTAGCATTGCATTGCATGCCGTGGCATGGCACGGGAAATGACGCCAACGCTGCAACGGGAGCACGAGTCGAAACGAACGGAAGCGCGGAAATGATGCCAACGCTGCAGCGGGAGCGCGATTCGGAACGAGCGGAAGCACGCCGGAATCGGCCCGGGAGGCTTCCCGGGCGCCAGAAGCAGAAATTCAGTATTTTCAAAAGAAAATGTGTATTGGAATGGCCTTTTTTCGGCCCCGCCTCGGAACTTGATTTTCCGGCGCCGGCCGGAACCGGCTCCGGACCCGGCCCGTGCGCTGGCCCCGGCGCCGGCTCGGGCGTGCAGCCTGGGCGCCGGCGGAAATGAGGCCAGCGCTGCAGCGGGGGCACAATTCGGAACGAGCGGGGCCCGAAAATGAGGCCGGCGCCCCAGCGAGAGCAACATTTTGGAAAAAATGCAGGCGAAAACCCAACTCCGGGGAAACCTGCGTGTAAAAAAACAGTACGCGGGGGGGGGGGGTCGGATACTCCCAAGCCGTCATCAGGGGAAGAGGGAGAGTAGTATTCATATGGAGTAATTGTGGAGGGAGGAGGAGGGAGGAGGAAGGAGGAGGAACGAGGCACGAGGGAGGAGGGAGGGAAGGCGAGCCCCGACGATTTGCTGTTGCCCCGTCTCCGCTTCCCTGCCCGGGGCCCGCGCCTTGCCGTCCGGGGTCATCCGCAGCCACGGCTCCCGCGCCTGGTCCCCCGCCGCCGAGGGCTCGCCCTCCGCCCAGTCGATGCCCGCGACCTCCGAGCCGTCCTCCCGCTCCCAGCGCTCCGCCGCGCTGTTCCTGGGAAGCATTTCGGCCAGCATCGAGCCTCCTCCTCCCCCTCCTCCTCCTCCTCCTCCGCCTCCTCCTCCTCCTCCTCCTCCTGTTCCTCCCCCCATTCCTTTTCCTTACAAATAACTTCTCCCTGTCGCACTCCGAGGCAAGTTGTTAGGGCGGACCGGGCGTTTCGCCTGAGACTTCCTCACCATTTATGACTCTGAAGCTTTGGAAATTGGCAACAGTTTCACAGATGGAGGGCGAGTCATTTTCACAGTGTGGCTCTCGCCTTAGCGCGGCGCGCATTCGTTTAACCAAATTGCGAGGAGTTTCGCTGATTGAGGGCGGTTCCTTTTCAAAATGTAGCTCTCGCCTTAGCGCGCCGCACATTCGTTTTAAAACGCAACGAGCTTCACGGATTGAGGGCGGTTCATTTTTCAACATGTGGCTCTCGCTTTGGCGCGGCGCACATTCGCGGTAAGATGTTGCAAAGAAGTTTCACGGATCCCCATCATGAGCATGTCAGAAACGGTGATTTGAAATGATTCTGGATTATGCGGGTGCCTAACTTATGTTGATTCGATGTGTTGTGGCACGATTCAAGAGTGTCAAGACGCAACAGACAGGTTGATGCGTGGCGTTGGAATCCTGAGAACAATGTTTTGGCATGCTTCAGGGTCTTCAAACGGTTGTCTTCCGAAGAGGCAGTTCCTTCAACGGAAATAAACCGTTGTATGGGCCTATGAAGAGGGAGCTTGGAGGGAGGGTTTATTCCAACATCGCTGATGGCTCTTGGGTTTATGCTGGTCCTCCTCCTCCTCCTCCTCCTCCTCCCTCCTCCTCCTCCTCCTCCTCCTCCTCCTCCTCCCCTCCCTCCTCCTCCTCCTCCTCCTCCTCCTCCCCTCCTCCTCCTCCTCCCCCTCCTCCCACTCCTCCTCCTCCTCCTCCTCCTCCACCTCCTCCCTCCTCCTCCCTCCTCCGCCCTCCTCCGCCCTCCGCCCTCCTCCTCCTCCTCCTCCTCCTCCTCCTCCTCCTCCTCCTCCTCGGGAAGTCGGATCAACTTGGAACGTCAGTCGAAGCGGACCGCCTCGGCACGGAGTCGGGAGCGAATCGGTGCGGCCGTGTCTGGGCGCGCAGCAGCGCCACGCGGGCGCCGGGCCGGAAGGAAGAGAGATCGGAACAAGATCGGGTCGGGCCAGCCGGAACCGGGCAGGCAGCAGGAACACGCTCCAAGATAGCACGCACATTCAATGATTGTCCTCCAGTTCCCCAGGCAGACAGCGCTTGCACTTATAGGGGCTCTCTCTTGTGTTGTAAAGATCTGGGGGGGGGGTCGGTCTAGCGGCTCCGTGCTCGCCGTCGCCGACTCGTCGCCACCTGGTCGCCGCCCGTTGCCTGGGCGGGGTTGTTGGTCTGGCGGCTTCGTCGCTCGTCGCCGCCCGCCGTCTGGGCGAGGTTGTCGGTCTGGCAGCTCCGTGCTCGCCGTCGCCGCCCCGTCGCCGCCTCCCATAGATTGCATCGCAATGACTGCATAGCATCGGCTGCACCACATATATTGCAACGCATTTACTGATTCACATGGACTGCACCACATATATTACATAACAAAGGTCGCACTGCACATGATGCACCACATAGATTGCAACGCACATGTTACACGACATATCTTGCAAAACATGATTTCCACTACGTCGAACGCAAAACGTATATTCCGCGACAAGACTGCACGGCACATGTTGCACCGTAGAGATGGCATCACGTCGATGGACCATATATGTTGCACACGCATCGATTGCACAAGATATGATGAAACACATTGGTTGCACACGATATAGTACATAACATATAGTGCGCCACGTAGATTACACTACACAATAGATACATGTATATATATACATATCACTATATCTATATATTAATATATATATATATATTAATATATATGAATATATATATATGAACTACACAACATACGACTACACAACGCATATTGAACAACATAAAGACTGCACCACGTAGATTTTACCACTCGTGCGTGTAGACATATCTGGGACATATGTATCAGTATGAAGGGGACGAAGGGTCATTCACTGTCCCTAGGCGCGTGGTTGAAGTGAGGTTGCGGTGCGGATGGTTGTTGATGTTGCTATTGCTGTTGCTGTTGTTGTTGGTGTTGTTGGTGTTGTTGTTGTTGTTGTTGTTGTTGTCGTTGTCTTTGTCGTTGTTGTTGTTGTCGTCGTTGTTGTTATTGTTGTTGTTGTTGGTTGTCGTCGTCCCCCCCGCGACCCATTCTGCGAACCACCCGCGACCCACCCGCGGCGCACCCCGCGACACACTCCGCGACCTGGCCGCGACCCACCCGCGATCCACCCCGCGACCCACCCACATTACCCTAACAAATGGGTCGCGGGTAGGTCGCGGGCGCGTCGCGGGGTGGGTAGCAGGTGGGTCGCGGGTGGGTCGCGGTGTGGGTCGCGGGTGGGTCGCGGGCGGGTCGAGGGGCGGGTTGCGGTTGGGTCGCGGGCAGGGTCGCGGGGGGGACGATGCCAAACAACAACAAACAACAACAACAATAATCCGCATCGCGGAATCACACTTCAGCCACTACCCAGGGACAGTGATTGACCGTTCGCCCCCCTTACTCTGACATTTCTACATATACGTACCACTTGTATTGCTCCAACAATATTGCGGGACATCTAACTCACAACATAGATAGCATAGCGCATAGTGCACACCATAGACTGCATCACATATTATATATATATTATGGCAAAAAACGAATAGAGTCTACCCCCCCTCGGACTGATCGTCTCCCCCTGGGATTATAACATATATGTATATATATAGATTCTGCACACTCGTCCATCATAAATATGAAATCAGACCATCCCAGCTAGGCCGGTTTCCCCCCTGAGGTTCCCTTGTGAAACAAAAAACACTATGCGGTGACATTTTTGGCTCTAACATAGTACTTGTTCGCGAATCCCTTGCAAAATTCGAGACGAAGTGCACACGCGCGCGTCGTCGCGCGCGCATGCCGAAATCCTTCAAAAACCTTCGGTGCGGGAAAGATTTCGCAATCGAATTTCCAAAACCATGCAAAAACACATGGTTTCGAAACACAGAATTGCTAAAAAAGCTTCCGCGAAAGCTCTTGCGAAATCTTAAGAAAACCATAGGTTTTTCAAGATTTTCACAAAATGCAACCAAACGGGCTTCGCGCGCGCTCATGTCGAAATCTGTCGAACGCCCTTGCGCGCGTGCCGTCGCGAGAATCCCCTGCACAAAATGGGACGGAGTGCAGACGCGCGCGTCGTCGCGCGCGTATGCCGAAAAGCTTCAAAACCCATCGGTTTCGGAAGGATTTCAAAATCGTGTCCAAAAAACCTACAAAAACAACAGGTTTCGCAACACGGATTTTCAACGAAAAAGTGCGCGCGCGCTCTTGCGTCGGCGTCGTCGTCGTCGTCGTCGCCGTCCTCCCTCCTCCCGCGTCGTTGTCGTCGTCGTCGTCGCCTACGTCGTCCTCTGTCTTTCCTCGTGTTCGTCATCGTCGTCCTCTTTGGCGTCGTGGTCGTTTCCGTCGTCGTTGTCGCCGTGGTCGTCCTTCCTCCTCCTCCCTCGTCGTCGTCGTCGTCCGTCGTCGGCGTCTCGTCGTCGTCCCTCCTATTTCGTCGCCGTCGTCGTCGTCGTCGTCGTCGTCGTCGTCTTCCCTCCTCCCTCGTCGTTGCGTCGTCGGCGTCGCCGTCCTTCCTCCTTCTTCGTCGTTCGCGTCGTCGCCGTCCTCCCTCCTCCCTCGTCGTTGTCGTCGTGGTCGCCGTCGTCGTCCTCCCTCCTTCCTCGTTGTCTTCGTTGGCGACGTCGTCGTCGTCTTCGTCGTCGGCGTCGGCGTCGTTGTCGTCTTCGTCGTCGTCGACGTCGGCGTCGTCGTCGTCGCCGCCGTCGGCGTCGTCGTCGTCGTCGTCGTCGGCGGCGTCGTTGACGTCGTCGTCGTCGGTGTCGTCGTTATTGTAGTCGTCGGCGTCGTCATCGTCGTCGTCGTTGTCATCGTCGTCGTCGTCGGCGTCGGTGTCGTCGTCGTCGTCGTCGGTGTCGTCGTCGTCGTCGTCGTCGTCGTCGTCGTCGTCGTCGTCGTCGTTGTCGGCGTCGTCTAAGTCGTTGGCGTCGGCGTCGTTGTCATCGTCCGCGTCGAAGCGTCGGTGTCGTCGTTGTCGTTGTCGGTGTCGGTGTCGTCGTCGTCGTTGTCGGCGTCGTCGAAGTCGTTGGAGACGTCGTCGGGGCTTCGTAGTCGTTGTCGGCGGCGTCGTCATCGTCGTTGTCGCTGTCGTCGTCGGCGTCGCTGTTGTTGCCAAGTGCCATGTGGTACCCACCGTCACGGTCTTAAGAGATTTTGCAAACCAAGTTGCGGGTGGGTGGGTGGGATGTTTGCGCGAGCAGCGGAGTGGACAACTCACTGCGAACAGAAATTAATTGCACTACCTAGATTTCTCCACATCGATTGCACAACACACATTGTTAGAACCATACTGGTTTGGGTCCGCGCTGGCCAACATTTTTACATGCTTTCTCGTCGTCGTCGTCGCCGCCGTCGCCGTCATAGTCGCCGTCGTCGCCGTCGCCGTCGTCTTCGTCTCTTCAGGGTCGGCGGTGCCGGCCGTCGTCCTTTGACGAGCAAACAACACGCACCCATACCCATAGGGAGGACGGAGGGGGCTATGGGCGCGTGTTGTCGGATGGGGCTCCCCGCTCGAACGGGAGACTCCCCCGTGGTCCGACAACCCGCACCCATAACCATAGCAAGTCCTCCTCCCGCCGACCCCCCTATGGGTATGGGTGTGTGTTGTCCGTTCGTCATCCTTGTCGTCGCCGTCGTCATCTCCGTCGTCGCCGAGTCGTCCCCCTTCAGGGCCTACGCCGTCGTCGCCGTCGTCCCCCTTCGGGGTGTGGCTGGGCCCTCCTCCCCGGCGCGCCTCCCGCGCCACGGTGGGCGCGGGAGGCGTCGCCTGGGTCGGCCCAGCGCCGATCCAAGAGATCCGTGCAGAGTTCCGAGAACTTGTGTTTATGCAATTGTTTTTTCCCGTCGAAGAACGAGCATCGGCATCGGTAGATTGTTCCCCGTTTTGTATACAATAAAACAATACAAATATCTGTACAGAAAATCCGCCGACCCTGTCGGCGTGTGGAAGACGCATCCCGGTGTCGTCGTCTTGCGTGGATCACCGTCGTCGTCGTCGTCGTCGTCGTCGTCGTCGTCGTCGTCGTCGTCGTCGTCTCCGTCGTGTCCTCGTCGTATCCGTCTCCGTTGTCCCTCGTCGTCTTCGTCGTTCCCCGTCTCCTTGAGCGCGCGAGCCAAAGCGACATTGAGCAACGTCGTAGTTGAGTCGTGGCGAAGCCCCTCCCTACCCTCCCCGCCGGGGGGTGGGGGGTGGGGGGGGGGGGGTCGCCGGGGGGGGTCGCCGGGGGGGGTCGCCGGGGGGGGTCGCCGGGGGGGGTCGCCACCCAGATACGCATCCTCCCCGGGGGGTCCCGGAGCTCAGAAAAGCTTCAAGACGAGCCAAGAGCGACAGAAGACACCCCCAAAAGGGTACAAGAGGGCCTCGACTCGACGAACGATGGCCCCAAGACGCCCAAGACGGCCCGAAGACGGCCCAAGAGGCCCTCAAGACGTTCCAAGAGAGCCCCAAGAGCACACCCAAGAGGGCCCCAGGCGCCAAAATCGTAAATTTTAGATCGGTTTTTGAATGATTTTGGCCTTCTCGCCTTTTCGGCTTTCCGACACTCCAAGACGGCCCAAGAGGCCCCCAAGAGGCCCCCAAGAGCGCCCCAAGAGGCCTACAAGAGGGCCCCAAGACGGCCCAAGAAGGCCCCAGGACAGCCTAAGAGGCGCCCAAGACGGCCCAATAGGGCCCCAAGACGGGCCCAAGAAACGGCCAAGAGGGGGACGAGGAACCGAGAATTCGAGACTTCCGCCCTAAGAGGCCCCCGGGAAGCCCCAAGAGGCCCCCAAAAGGCCCCAAGAGGCCCCCGAGCGGCGCCAAGACGCCCCCAAGATGCGCCGAAGACGGCCTCCGGAAGCCCCAAGAGGCCCAAAAGAGGCCCCAAGAGGCCCCACAACGGCCCCCAAGAGGCTTCAAGTTGCCTTCCAGACGCCCCCGAGAGGTCAACCACGAGATCCCAACCAACATCCATAAGGCCTCCTCCTCCTCCCCCTTCACCCTTCCTCCTCCTACTCCCTTCCGCCTCCTCCTCCTCCTCCTCCTCCTCCTCCTCCTCCTCCTCTTCCTCCTGCCCCCCCTCGTGTTGTCTTTCGTCATCTTCAGGGTCGGCGGCAACGGCCGTAAGGCCTTCGCAATAGAGCTACATATATGTGTGTATATATATATATATGCATATACTTTTATCACATTACTACTTTACCCGGCGACGGCCGTTACCTGGGGGAGGGGCGCCGCAGGTAACGGTTACGCTTGGGTGGAGTGGGGCACGTCGGGGCGGGGGCGCGCTGCGATCGCAACGGTATCCGCGCGAGCACCACCAGCATGTGGGGGGAAAGCCCGCGCGCCCCCCCTCGTACGATCGTTACCATTACCAAGGGGGGATGGGGGCGGCTATCGGCCGTTACGCGCCAGCGGATCAAACAAAACAGCTCCGTCGAGCTCCTTCCCTGAGTTCCATTGTCCCCGGGCCACGCCGCGCCTGGGCGGCGAGGGCGGGGACCTCGACAGACCTCTCCGCCGCGCCCCAACGAGAGCCAATCAAGCCATTGGTGCAACGTGGTGACACTAGGAGACCTAGCTGCGCCGATCACAAACCACCTCCCTGGCGTAACTACTCCCCACGGCGCAAGCAAAAATCAATTATTGTTGTGAACACTGCTTGCGTGCAAATCAATGAAACAACAAAAACGCCATCCCCCAAACAACCCGCTTCGCTTCAAACCGTCACGCGCGAGAACGAAGACAACACAACCGCAGGTTGGCAGCCGAAACCAAGGCCGGGGAACGAACAACGGCATGCAAAAACAACAACATATCGCCTCGCTCGCGCCCTGCCACACCTCTTGTGCAGAGGCCTCCCAGGTGGGGTCGGAAGAGATGAATCCACGGGGTCGGAACATCGCGCCGAATCGACAAAGCATCGCCGATACATCGGCGATACACTGGCGATGTCGGCGATGCATCGGCGACGCCGGCGTGGAAAAACTCAGCTTCCACATCGAGCTGCATCGCTGATGCATCGGCGATGGAACAAATGTGCATACACAAACTTTTCACGGGTCGCGTAGATCCAAGGAGTTCGCGCAGAGCGTCGAAAGTCTATGCTTAGGCTGTTTTTGTCATTCGCTGTCCCCCTGGGACCCCGAAGCCGAATCGAATCGACAAGTCGGACCGACGAGCGACATTCTAGACGCTTCCCGTAACCCCACCACCCCATCCAGCAACGATGCCCAGAGGATTTGCCTCGATCAAGGAAGTTGGCAGCACACAGAGGAAGGGAAACCCAATGGAGGCCTCTTGTAGCGTGGTGGGGGCCTCTTGGCGGCCCCGAACGCCTTTTAGAGCCTCTTGGGTGCCTCGCAAAACTCCTTGGGGCCTCTTGGGGGTCTCTTGGGAGCCTCTCTGGCGCCTGTTGAGGCCTCCTGGGGCCTCCTGGGCGCCTCTTGGGGCCCTCTCGAATCGCTCTTGGGAGCTTTGAGGACGCTCTTGGAGCCCTCTTGGGCCATCTTGGAGCCATTTTGATGCCTCGGATGGCCATCGGAACCGAAAGGGCTCAACGAAAGGGGTTCCCTTAATTAGCTTCTTCCCTCGGGGGCCTCCCAGGTTGCCTTTTTGAGTGTTATTCGGGCGTCCTTGGAGCGTTATTGGGGCCGTTTTGGGGCTGCCTCTGGGCCCCTCTTAAGGCTCTCTTGGGCCATCTTGGAGCTATCGCAAGGCCTCGGCCGGCCATCGAAAGCGGAAAAAACGGGAAAGCCAAACACATTTATCTTCCACCAGTTTTTGAAGCATTTTGGCCTCTTGGGGGCATCCTTGGGGAGCTCTTTTGGCAAATGAGAACCGTCTTGGGGCAGGCTTGGGGCGTCTTAGAGAATGGGGAGCCATCTCGAGGCATCTTGCGTTATCGTGAGCCATCTTGGACGCCATCTTGGGCTCTCTGAAGCCTTCTTGGGCCGTCTTGGGCGAACAAGTACCCGTCCATGTCCAGGGGAGGGGGTAGGGGGAGGGGTCAAGACTCCCTCCCCGCCCGCAAGCCGTCTCGCTCACTCCCACCCGCCCTCCCCGCACATACGTAGCACCCGAGCCTGGCCCGAGCCGCAGCATATTCAGCAGTCGCCGTTGGATGGGCAGCTACTGGGGGCGATCCCGCCGCCGCCGCCGCCGCCGCCACCTCCGCCGCCGCCGCCGTCCGCCGCCGCCGCCGCCGCGCCGCCGCCGCCGCCGCCCGCGCTGTCCGCCGCGCCGCCGCCGCGCCGCCCGCCGCCGCCGCCGCCGCCGCCGCGCCGCTGCCGAATCGCCGCCGCCGCAGCCGCTGCCGCCGCAGCCGCTGCCGCCACCGCTGCCGCCGACGCCGCCGCCGCCGCCGCCGCCGCCGCCGCCGCCGCCGCCCGCCGCCCCCGCCGCCGCCGCCGCCACCGCCGCCGCCACCGACGCAACCGCCGCAGCCGCTGCCCCCGCCGCAACCGCCGCAGCCGCCGCCGCCAAGTGTACTCTGTATTATTTGTTGACAGGGATGGTGAGGGGAGGCCGCATCGGGTTCGCTGCGCATGCTCCGAATTTGGAGGCAGAATGTGTTTTGTATGTTTTTTGTAACCTAGGATGGTGGGGGGTGGCCCTCCTTGTCCCTAGTTGGCTCCGACTCGCCTGGTGGAGGGGGTGTATATTACTACGGAACAGTGATAAACCCCTCTCCGAAAGGGAAGAAGGAAGGTGGAAAAGGAAAAGCTCTAGACCACCAACGCCCAGAAGGCCGGTGGGATTAATAGAATCGGCAGAACATGGAGCCAAGTCGGGAGAAGTCAAATCAGCGGAAATCGGCAGGCTACTAGGCACTCGTTGAGAAATCGAAAACCAAATGGGAATCCGAAGCCGAACATATTCGGACATGGAACAGATTGAAGAAATCGAATGGAATCGATTCGGAGGAGTCGAGCTGAGCCCTGCAAAAGGTCACTCGGGCAAAATGTCACTCGTAATAGAGGCTTGGAAATGGGAACTAACACCAACACAGGGGATTGTCTCGGCTGGGGGAAGGTGGTTCTAGATTTTGGTGACGGCGGCAATGCTTCGGCCACATGGGAAATCCGGATACGACCACCATCACAAAAGACCGAGGTCATCTTCCTCCCGTGGATGCACACCCTCGATGCTGGTGTTGGTGTCAACCTCTGGGACTGCGATCTTATCAGATACACGCAGGAGTGACCCTGGGTAAGAGTGACCTTTGGTGCGCGGCTTCTGGGAGGCCGCGGATGCTAAACACAGGCGCGCAAGACACTACGATCGCGTTGCCTTCGGCGATCGGGTGACCCCAATGTACCCGCACCAAAGGTCACTCTGGCGAAGGGTCACTCTTAAGACTAGTCGATCTTACGTGGTGGGCCTGTCTTCCACAGCCACCAACACAAGTAGGGGGGGGAGGGTGTCATCCTCCCTCTCCTCCTTCTCCCTCTCCTCCTCCTCCTCCTCCTCCTCCGCCTCCTCCTCCTCCTCTCATCCTCCACCTCCTTCCCCCCTCCAACTTGTGGTGGTGGGTTGGAAAACAGGCCCATCACTAATGACGTGCAGCCGATGGCTTTTCCTCCCCGGAGCTCCACTGCCCCCCGAGCCACACCGCGCTCTGGCGCCCCTCCGGCTCCAGCCGCTGGGCTCCGGCCGCGGCGGCCATGGCGTCCTGCACGGCACGGAGGTCCGCGGGGCGCGACGGCATGGGCAGCCCACCGAAGGCCGCGCAGACGCCCTGGGCCTCGTGGGCCCGCAGGTAGCCGGCGAAGGAGAAATTCCTCGGCTCCTCCTCCTCCTCCTCCTCCTCCTCCTCCTCCTCCTCCTCCTCCTCCTCTTCCCCTTCATCCTCGAGCATGGCTCAACTGATGGAGGCCTGGAAGCCAACACAGGCACCAGAACAGGGGGGTGCGTCCACGGGGGGAGGATGCTCACGCTCGCCATCGCTCGGACGTCCATTCCCTGTGTTTTTTTCGGTTTCGTGCGTGGCTTTTTCGCCAAATGGTCAAGGATGCTCCTCGATGGTCCTCGCCGAAGGAAACATGCACACGTCCGAGCGATGCCTAGCACGGGTTTTGGTGTTGGTACTTAAATTTCGGCCACCTGGGGAGCCCGAGTATGACCGCCATCACCGAGACCGGGGTCATCTTCCCTCGGTGGAGGCACACCGCCGATATTGATGTTGGTGCCGGCCTCTAGGCTCTAGGCCTCCGAAACTGAGATCCGGGTCCAGACATCTAGCGTCTCGAGAAAATCGAAACGAACGACAATTTGTCGTAGTTGTCCGCCTCTAGGGGCCAAGACCGTCAAACGACGACTCGAGATGAAAAACCGGTCCGAGGGAAGTGGTCCAGAGAACGGGGGCCCGTGTCTCAAAAATCGAGACGTGAGATGTCTAGGGGGCATTGCATTTTTTACCTAACATTCTGTGGTGTTGGGTCCTGGTTTTGAAGAGACTGCGCCCCGCTTCACTCCTCCCACTGCCCCCTTCCCCCTCATCTCACTCACCATCATCATCACTCGTTTCAGCACACCCATCACACGCTTCGTGGCCCCATAGGGAGCTGCACCGAAGGCCCCAGTGGCAGGGTTCGCTATTCGCCACCGCGCCCATTTCGGCACACCCCTCACACGTTTCGTGGCCCTATAAGGAGCTCCACCGAAGGCCCCACTGGCAGGGTTCGCTACCCAATTCGGCACACTCCTCATTCGTGTCGTGGCCCCACAGGGAGCTCCACCGAAGGCCTTAGTGGCAGGGCTCGCACGGCGCCACCGCGGCCATTTCGGAACACCCGTCACACGTGTCGTGGCCCCATGGGAGCTCCACCCAAGGCCCTAGTGGCAGGGTTCGCATGGCGCCACCGCACCCATTTCGGCACACCCCTCACACGTGTCGTGGCCCCACAGGGGGCTCCACCCAAGGCCCCACTGGGAGGGTTCGCATGACGCCACCGCACTCATTTCGGCACACCCCTCACACGTTTCGTGGCCCCACAGGGAGCTCCATCGAAGGCCCCAATGGCAAGGTTCGCATGGCGCCACCGCACCTGGGCGGGGTGGGTTATCGGGCCCCTATAGGCGATGAGTAGGCGATATGGAGTCGACCAATCCCCCCAAGAGCCTACCCCTCTAACGTTTCCCCTGGCCACTGTTGTGGCCTGGGCCCCTCTGGCCGATTTACCCACCTGGATGAGGGCACAAGCTGTTTCGGGCTTCTCGGGGCCAATCCCCACTGAGGAGGGTGGGCTGAGGGGCTGAGATACCATATGGCCCAAGGGGAATGGGAATGCATCGCTGGTCGGAGACCACCACATCTCAACAAAAAAACCCAAGGGGTGTCAGAAACCAGGCCCCCCCACCCATCCCCAACCCCTCCCCAGGGAAGAACCTAGGGGATCTGGATCCCCCTTCACATCAAAAACCGGGAAAATTATACGGGGGAGTCCATCACCGTCCCCCCTCTGCCCAGCGACGACGACGACGACAGCGGCAGCGGCGCACCTGTCGCCGGCTCTGATAGAATGCTAAAATGGACCCTAGTCAACGCTCCCCTACTCTGCTCTACGTTCCTCTACGCTACTCCACTCTGCTCTATTCCACTCTTCCCTATCTACTCTACCCTACCGTATCCCAGCAGATTCTACCCTACTCCACTTTGCTCTTTCTCTACTCTACCCTACTCGACTCCATATCCAGTTTACTCTACTTTTCTTAATTATACGCAGCCCTGCCCTACTTTACTCGACCTTACTTTACCCTAACGTACCCTAAACTACTCTGCTCTACGTTTCTCGTAATGTGCTCTACTCTACTCCAATCCTACTCTACTCTACTCTGCTCTGCTCTACTCTGTTTCTGATCTACTCTACCCATCTACACATCTCTCTACTCTACTCCACTCTACCACTCTTACCGTATCCCACCCTACTCATGCCGACTAAACTCGACCCTCTACCCTCTCTGTTCTGTTGCACTCTACGCTTACTCTCTGCTCGTTGTCGTCGCCTTCGGCGTCTTCGTCGCCGTCGTCTTTGGTGTCGTCGGTGTGATCGGTGTGGTCGGTGTCATCGTCGTCGTCGTCGTCGTTGCCCAGGGTGGGGGGAATTGGGAGGGTGTCCCTGGACCCTCCGAATCGTTTTTTCGGAGGAGGGGGGAGTCTGGACCCCCGGAATCATTTTCTGGAGGGGGGGCGGGTCCGGACCCCCTCCCCCCGCCTGGCTTTTGGGGTGGGGGGGGGAGGGATTTGGGCCCCCCCGCCAGCAACAGCAGCAGAGAAAGGCTGATCCTCGCGGCCAGGCGCGTGCCGCACTTGGAGGTGCCGCGGGTCAACACCCAGCACCTGACGCCGCCACAGACATTGAGCATCATTTAACCGATCCCTATCCCAACTGGCGTGGCCTGGGCCCCTCTGGCCGATTCACCCCAGAGATGGGGATATAGGCGGCACCCTTCGGGCTTCGAGGGGCACATCCCCAACTGGGGTGGTGGGGTGGTGGGGATCGGGATGGAGATGGGAATGGAGATGGGGATCGGTCAAACGATCCTGTGGCATTTGAACGACGATCAAAAGCGGGTCTTATGCGGGATGACACAGCGACCTTACGCGGCGACTTACGCGGGCCGCCAGCGGGCAGCCAGCGCGGCACGCCACACTGGAGACGAGGGCGCTCACGCGCGAGCTTACGCGGGCAGCTTGCGCGCCCATGTCGCCGAAGACGACCCCGTTTGTCGTCGCTCCTTTGGCAGCGCGCACAGGGGGGTAGGGGGAGGGAGAAGGCTGCTTAAAGGAATGCTGCTCCTTGGCAGGCGCGGGCGTTATGCATCTGTAGACAAGGCCCGCGCCTTCCAAGAAACAACCAACTTCTAAGAAACCTTCCCCACTCCCTCTGCGCCCTATGCGCGCGGCCAAGATATGCTCGCGTCGTGATCACGACAGGGATCTGATCGCCGTCTTCGGCCTCTGGGCTCAGGATGAAGCACTGGCCCAGGGGAGGGGGTCTCGCTGGGCCCCGGGCCCCGGGAAGGGGCCCTGGGCCCAGGGCAAGGGACGCGCAGGGCCCTGGGTCTCGGACTCGCAGGGCCCCGGGTCTCGGGACAGGACACTGGCCCTGGCGAAGGGCCAGGACTCCCGGGGACCCCGAGCTCAACAAATCAGAGCATCCGACGTGAAGAGAATCGGGCCTTTGCAGAAGACATGGCGACCTCACGCGGCGGCGCACGCGGGCTGCCAGCGTGGCACACCGCGCGGAGAAGCAGGGCGCTTCACGCGCGACCTCACGCGGGAAACTCTCGCCCCGAGCATGCACCGCCGATGCTTTTGATACGGGGTCCTCCGAAATCCCAACTCGTTCCCCCAAGCCGGTGTTTCGTCCCGAGGCCTTTATTGAAGGTGTCGGGGCTTGGCGAGGGCCCCTGGAGGCCGAAAGCGGCAACAAAAACGACCATTGCGCTTTCTCTGGCGGTCTACTTACGCACGACCTCGCGCGGGAAACTCACCCGCGAACGCCTGCGCAATCGACTCCATGTCTTACACCGCGTACCTGGGAAAGCCTAGAATCGAATCGATGCGTCGGATCGGCGCCCGAAAAGGAATCGGACCCGCGGAACTCAGAAGCCGAAGTCGGGAGAAGTCGCATCGGCTGAACAATCGGCACGCTGACCGAAATCCACATCGAACAATTCGAAGTCGAGTCAGATCGGAATCGGAATTGGTCGGAATCGGATCGGGGGGAGTGCGGGGGGAGGGCTGAGGGAGGGCGCAGGGAGGGAGGGAGGAGGAGAAGGAGGAGGAGGAGGAGAAGGGGAGGAGGAGGAGGAGGCGGAGGAGGAGGAGGAGGAGGAGGAGGAGGAGGAGAAGGAGGAGGAGGCAGAGGAGGAGCAGGAGGCAGAGGAGGAGCAGGAGGCAGAGGAGGAGGAGGAGGAGGACGAGGAAGAGGAGGATGATGAGGAGGGAGATCGAATCCAGACGAAGTCATCGACATGAACCCCGGCACCTGCCACCGAGCTGCCCGAACAACGGTGGCTCGGCCGCCACGGCGCCGCGGCGCGGCGTGAAGCAACCCAGGCCGCCCCGGCAGTCGCCGGACAGCGGGTGGCGCAGCAGCCCAGCGCAGTCGGGCTGGGCGTTGCAAAACGCCTGTGGGTCGAGGGCACCCAGGGTTATGCTATATCTGGTTCTAGTTTATTACATAAACTCTATGCTATTCACTTATATTATGTTCTAGCGTATTCGACTAAATTATTATAAACTTTATTCTACTCTAGTATGTTCAACAAAATTTTGTATTCTAGTAAATTCTATTATATGCAATTATACTATACTTTATTCTGGCAGTAGTATCCTCTTCTATTCGATTCGATTATATCATGTTGAACAAAATTATATTCGACCTGTGTGCGTGGGAACCCGCTGCACGGCGGGGCACGCTCACACTCAATCGCACGTCTGGGAATGTGCCCCCCTGACTGCGGCGGCAGGCCCCGACCTACCCGTGACAAAACGCTGTCCCCGCTTGATAGGGGGAGGAAGAAGAGGAGGAGGAGGAAGAGGAGGAGGAGGAGCAGGAGGGGGAGATGAGATGAGATGAGATGAAACGGCTCCCAAGGACGTCCAGGGTGGAAGGAGCCAACCCGATATAAAATTGGGTGGGATGCACCATCGAAAACGATGTTTGCGGCAGGTGCACGCCGCCCCACTACGGCCTCCGACGGGCCTCTTCACGAGTTCGGATTCGCTCGTGGAGGCGGGCCAATCGAGCTTCACACGGGACAACGCTGTCGAACGCACAACTGGCACTGCTGGCGACGGTGGTCCTGGACACGACGTCCCGAACGGACGTGACCGACACACCGACGCGAGGGGCGGGATGGCCGCTTGATCAACGCACGGATCCGAACACGCGAATACTTAATGTCTCCTCTGCGCGTCGGGGGGGGCGCAGGCTCTGGCCAGCTTGATGGCTTTCTCCTGACGCCAATCCCCGCACTTCACGCACAGCAAGCACCCACGCCTAGCCTCCTCACTCTCGGCACTGCACTGCACGGCGCGCAGGGGAGCGAGGCGAGAGCCCGACACGGCAACCAACTGGAGCCCGAGAAGGCTGTCAGCGAGGGGATTCAAGAAGGACGGGGTCCCGAGACAACTTTTCATCGGCAGCTTGCGGTACGAGGGCGCAACCTTGAAACAAAAAACACATTGCCAGCCCAGTTCGCTCCACCCCCAAGAGTGCCACCCCTCCCCCCGAGAGTTAGTTTTGCATCTCAGCCCCGCGGGCCGACGCTAGCGCTGAAAGCTGTCCTCATGGAAACATGGGAGGACAGCGCCAGTTTGAGCAACAGAATCGGCAACCCGACCCCTCGCGAAATCAAGCGATGCCAAAAACTCACGTATAGGGGGGGGGGGTGGAGGCGAGCTTGGCATGATGATCAGCAATCCTGTTGACCTCCGCCAATGGCGCTCCTCGGCATCGAGACTCCCGGACTGCTCGTGCGAACGATGCGCCTTCGCGTGGCGAACTGAGACGAACTGGTGGCCCTCGAGGCCACGACCGAATTTGAAGATACCTGCAGCCTGGTTGGACGCGCGCAACTGATTGGACACAGGCTGCTGGAAACGGCGGAACGCCGCCACGCAGTCATTGCCAGCTGTCGGCGATCTGACTAGTCAAGCAAAGAGCAACGCTCTCGGCGATGCTAGGAGTCTGACGGAAATAACCAGCCACAGGCCTGCGCATGATCGCGACGGGCAAATCTGGCGCAGGGGGGGAAACGCAATTGACCAGGGTGCGCGTTCCAGCTCAACTAACCTTGATCGCGCGCACGATCCACCCGGAGCGACATCATGTCGCGGCCCCAGGACGAGGGATGCAACGCCTTCTACCTCCACATCCAGTGCCTCCCCTTGAGGGCCTTCGAGGACCATCTGGTCTGTGCAGATATCTCAGATAGGGGGCGGCACATCCGTTTTTCATCGTGCACATACACTCCTTGCGCAAAGATGACTCAAGGCTAGCCTGCGAACGCAGCGCGCTGACCTTGGACCCGGAAGGAGCGGCAAGTACATCAGGCAGGGTGCACTTGCATAAACAATGCTTGAGGTCTGTCTGTGGCCACACGCGCAGAGACCGTCGCAGAGGTAGCTGGCAGCTTGGACGCGGGCCTTGGCCCAGACTCAGCGGCGAGAGCAGCTCCCCCTCAAGAATTTCGCGAGACCAGGAAACCGACGCGACCGAGCCCCGAGGACGGATCGGATCAAGCCGAGCGAGGCCCGGAATCCTTGCGGAGCTCCCAGCTGCTTGGCTAAAGAAAGCTCGCGTTGCCTCAGAATCCCTGCTACCATGAGGACACGCGGCATGCTAGGGGGCGTGCGACATCTATGGTGGAGACCCTGTGGCTCATCCACCTAGTCGCAGAGACCACGCTCAAACCAACGCGGCGCGCAACAAGGACAGCACGAGAAAGCGGCCCGCGACTGGACGGCTAGTTCTTGGCCTCCAAGGGCTTGGCGTCACGCCAAAGCCGAAGCAGACGCGCGCGAGTGCAGGGTGACTGCGCCGATGGGCATGGCCTTGTTGCCAGTGATGACCTTGCCCGAACGCTCCAGCTTCCACGTGCGCTTCACCATTTGCCAACGACACTTCGCCCGCTTGATGTGCGCGCCCTTCTTCTTGCGGCTGCTGCCCGCACTGACATCGAACCCGACGTAGGCAGCGATGCGTCGGAAAACTGACGCTGGGGACCCGGTCGTGCTCGCGATATCCTGCGCAAGAGAGGCTGTTGTTGACAACCGCGTCAAGCCCATCCACAGTAGGCCTGAGGCCAACCATGGCCACGGTTGCCACGCGGATCGAACTGTCACCTATGTAGTTCACGAACAGCCATCTCACGAACAGATCAAACTTCGACCGCAACGTCGCACAAACATGTCACCAGCAGGGGGGGGGGGCACAAGGTGAACAAAGCGGCTCGCCCGCATGGAGACCGCAAAGACGCCAGACGCGCGATGCACGCCACATACTGCACACTAACTTGAGGAAGGACGTCGGCGTCTGCAAACTGAGGAACTGGTCCCGTAGCCTGTCCAAAGGACTCCATTGGTCGTGCTTGCTGAAGTCAGCCACGGCCAGCGCGCCGAGATCAGCCTGCCGTGAATCTGCCTCGCCCGCAGCTGCCTGGACCCACGCGCAATCAACGGATGGGCGCCTTCGCGCCGTGCCCCAATGGGGGCGGCCAGTGTGCAGCTGCAGCTCACGGAGCACTGGCCAACGCAGGCGCTGCCGAATACGGCGGGGCCAAGCATGGAGCACCGCCGGCCGATTAGCCGTGCCCGACGCCTTGGGAGGCATAGGGGGTGACGAGCCAACGAGGCTGCCATGGCGGGGGGTCAAGTGACTCCATCGCTGAGAAGAGACCGAGTGAATCCACGGCTGATCGCCCAGCAACTGGAACTGACGGGGATGAAAGATATCAGGCGCAGCAGTGGTAGTGTAAAAGAATAACTGACGACGGGGCGAATATACCTTGCAGTCGCCCTCTGCAGCGGAGAGCGGTCAGGAATCCACGCTGGCACAGGACGGGAATTGCACCACAACTTCTTACACAACTCAACCTCCTGCCGCGCTACGTAGTGAACGCGAGCAGGCGGCCCGCATGCGGTGCCGACCACCATGGGCTGCACTGCGCCGCGAAACTTGGCAGCGCGGTGGAGGACTCGCGCGCCTCTTCTGGTGGTCCTCCTTGGAAGCTCCGCTCGATGCGAGCTCGGCGTCGGGCTCGACGTCGTCCAAGAGCTCGCGGCAGGCCTCCTCGCTGGAAACCAGCCAGCACCATGGCGCGCGCATGCTGCGCAGAGCGGTCGGGCCGCGTCGACATGCCAAGCCCGTGGTCAGCCGTCGTGGAGGACGTGAAGACCTCTTCTGCATAATGGGCCATGTCCTGAATGGGAGGGGCTGGCAGGCCGCTGGAGAGCACTGAGACACAACAAAGCAGTTTGCAACCGCTGCCGGCCCTCGGAAACCACCTGCAAGTTCGACCAATCTTGATAGTGTAGCTGATGCCGATCCATCTGGGCCGAAGCGGCCGCGCCAAAGCTGGGGCGCTGCAGTCCTCATGGCCGACTGAGACCGCGATGGACTAGGCCGCTCGCGCTGCAAAGTGGCCCCAAGCAGGAGACAATTGACCCCGTCGAACACCGGGGGCGACGCTCTCATCGGCACATCCTCGGCGCGGCAGTTTCACCAGCTTCTTAACATGCTCGGCGTCGCCCCCCAATGCAGCTTGCGCTGGGCGGTGGCCTCTCTGGGGCAATGTGGCATCGCAGCTGACTCTGCAATACATCCTCATGGCCGCCGAAATGACGTGAAAATGAATGACCGAAATGCCAGTGCCTCCTCTGAACGCGACGGTGGTGGTACACTGTAGAGCAGCCAACATGAAAAAAAATATGGCTGCCTTCGAGCTCCGCTGGCGGCATGTTCCAATCACCATCAATGATGGCGGGGCCGTCCAGGGACTCGGCTACCGGCCCAAGCTCCTGCAACAGACGGCCATTTCGCCCACCTGCTCCCGCGCCCGTGACGAGGTAAACGTTGAATAAGTGAAGCCCGCGCTTCACGCCTGGCTGATCGATGACAACATGCTGAATCCTGCCTGGGGTCACCTCGCGCACTCCGCGGGCAGGGGGCCCGACGCAGGGGCCGTCGCGAACTGCGACTGCGACGCCTGCAGCAGGGGCCGCGCCGATGGCGGCCAAGCTTGGAAGCGCCATCGCGCGCCGCCCTCTGCCAGCGCGCCATGGGCCCAAGGCCTCGGCGCGGTCGGCAACGTGCCCGAACTCCTGCAGGAGGGCAACGCTCGCCGCAACACAAGCGAGCCTCCGCTTGACAGGCGACTTGCCACCGCTGGCGTTGCGCGGCTCGATGCTGAACTCAGCAACGGGCGGGGGCCTCGACCCAATTGGGGGGGGCGCGACCATGCCCAGGCAGACCGCGCGCGTCAGGCCAGGCACCTCCTCCTCGTCGAGTCGCGACCGACATCGTCGGCAGGGAGCTCGCCGCCCCAGGCCGCAGCAACAGCGCAACGTGGCCACACTGAGCCCGGTAGCCGCAGCGGCACGCCGGGTCTTTGCGATCGAACGCGCGAGGCGCGACGGGGCGGTCGCGCGGCTGCGCCTGCCAGGGGGGGTGGGCCATGAGGTGTTCGGGGAGCTGCTCCCCGTGCCCCCCTGGCCATCACGCCGCCCCTCGCGGCGGCCGGACCCCGCCCGCCCGCGCCACCACTCCACTAGCGGCGCGCCCCCCGTGCCTCGCGCCAGCGGCAGCCCCCTGACGAGAGCTCGTGGCGCTCGGCGGGCCCACGGGCACCATGACCTCGACGTCGACCATGGCGTCGGCAGCCCGGCCGCAGTCGGCCTGGGTCGGGTCGGACCAGAGCACGCACGCAGCGCCGCAGGAGCCCCGATGAGCGGACCAGCTCCCTGCCCGAGCACCCCGAGAAGCGGCCCAGTGCTCGAGCGATGCTCAGTAGGACCCCGGGGGCGCGGGCCCGGTCCGCGCTCGAGCTCCCCGAGGAGCGGGCCAGACCTCGAGCAATACTCAGCAACGCCCTCATCCAGCACATGCATCCGCGGCGACATCGGGCCAGGTGGCCGCAATTGCACACCTAAACTTTGCGATCTCACGCCATGGTCAAACCTGATGCCGAGCGCGCTTGGCTGCCATTTCGGACCACATGGCGTCGAAGGCCTGCGCGAAGGCCTCAACGACGCCCTCCTCGCGGGGGCGAACGAGGCGCAACTTCTGCTCATCTGTGGGAGGCACCATCTCAACGTCATCGTCGCCATCGCTGGGGACCGCCTTGTCCGAGGCATCGGCCAAAGCCTCGCCGGCAGCACGGGCATGATCCCCAGCGGCACCGCCAGCAGCGCCAGACCGAACAGCACACGTGGCCGAGAGCACCGCCTCGAGCTTGGTCCACTGCTCAGACTTGAGGATTTGGACGAGCTCGGGCTGGTTAGCGACATCGGCCTCATCGATTTGGAGGGCGCCCAGCGCGCCGACTGCGCTGACTGGGGCACCCGCGGCACTTTTGGCGGACTCGCCGAAAGCCTTGTCCAGCACGACGATCTTGAGCTTCTCCGCCTCGATTGCCTCCTTGCGGTGCCCGGCGCCCCTCGCTAGCTGCGTGAGCTGATCCTGCTTCTCGAGCAGCTCCTTCTCCATCTTTTCCAGGCTGGTCCTCGCGCGCTGCAGGTCCTGCTGCGCACGACGGTGCCTGGCCTTGGGGGACAGCAGCACGCGCTTCTCTGCACGCAGCCCCTGAAACTGCTTCTCGATAGGACTTCGGAGGTCCTTGTTGCGTTCATCAGTTGCAGGAAGCGTCTTAAGGGTGTCCTCCAGTTCGCTGGTACGCTCGCCGATCCTGATGCGTTGCAGCTTCTGCGAGTCGCTCCCACCTGCGCAAACACCGGCATCATCACCCGACTGCCGTGGGGGCGGCTCCCCCCGAGGCTTGGGCCACACGGCGTCGGACGGCGCCAGGCGCTGCTCGATAGCCTGCACCCAAGCGGACAGCTCCTTCGGGATGCCAGCACCTCCGCCCGCTGGCCTCTGAGACGCTGCACGACGGCCGCCTCCGTCCGCACCCTCGGCCTCCTTGTGCTGCTGGCGCGCGCGGGAGGCGACGAGGGACGGGGCCTGGCGGCCGCAGAGGCACTGGACGCGGGAAGCCCACTGCAACGTGCGGCCGCACTGCCCACAGCTCCAGTGGGGCTTGCGCGGGCCGCGGAGCACAGTGGCCGCTGGCGGCTGCGGCACCATGCTTGGGCTGGAAGAGGCGCGCCAAGGCGGGGCGGACCACCCCGACGCTCGCCCTGGGACTGGCTAGGGGAAGGAATGAGGACTGGTCGCGGACCAGGGGTATCCACGTGTTCCCCTGTGGAACAAAGCAGCTTGAGCCAAAATGGCTACGGGGAGCAGGAGGAGGAAGCAGAGGAGGAAGAGGTGGAGGAGTTCAAGCGCAGGTCGCGGGGGACCTCGACACCGTGGCGCCCGCCCGCAGACGCACCCAAGATGGGGGGCGCCCGAGAGAAAGAGAGAGAGAGAGAGAAACAAAAAAAAAAACGCCAAAGCACGGCCCGAGGAGTGCGCGTTCTCAACGCGGGGGCCCAGGGATGTGAAATACGAGGAGGCGCCACGCGATCTGAGAAGACCCTTCCTCCTCCTCGTCCTTATCGTCCTCCTCCTCCTCCTCCCCTCCTCCTCCCTCATCCACCTCCTGCACCCTCTCCTCCTCCTCCTGCCACTCCCCCTCCTCCTCCCCCTGCCCCCCCCACCCCCTTTCATCTTCGTCGTCTTCGGGGTCGGCGGCACCAGCCGCGAGGCCTTCGCAATAGAGGGAGGCGCCGCGAGATATGAGAAGACATCATGGCCCTGGACACGAGGTCCCCCCCCAGTCATCGCCCCCCGCTTGGCCGCCCCCGAGTACTGGGCCCCCGGGGAAGCCCGAATCCATGGCCACGCTCCCATGCTTCCATGCATCCTGGATGTGCCATGCTTTCCTGGATGCTCCATGCTTCCTGGATGCTCCTCTTCCCCCCGCCTCGCAGAAGTCCGCATGCTCTCACGAAGAGCGGCCGACTGTTGTGATTATGATCATTTGTCCCTCCTGAGCCTGCGCATCCTCCAGCGTCCTCAGAACACGCGGGAACGGCATACACACAAGCTGTCCGAGCTCCGCGCTGGCCTGTTGGATCCGAGCAGGACCCCGGGGCGGCGCCCGAGGCGCTGCCAGGGGAGCCCAGCGCAGATCCAAGCACGCCGCGCGGCCCTGCGAGAAGGTATGCAGCGGCGGCGCGAACAGGGGGGTAGGCGCAGGGGGGAAGGCTGCTTCGAAGGAGCCTGCTTCTTGCAGGCCTGGCAGGCCCTGCAGCTGCAGACGAGGCCCGCCTCTTCTCAAGAAGCAGGGGTGCCTCTAGGAAGCCTTCCCCTTTCCTCGCCATCGCTCGGACGTCCCTTCCATGTGCATTTTTCGGTTTCGTGCGTGTTTTGTTGGCCCGATGGTCGAGGATGCTTCCCGATGGCCCCAGCCGAGAAAAAATGCACACGTCCGAGCGATGCCAAGTCTCCGTCCACCCCCTCTCTGCGCGTGGCCGAAACTGTCTGTGCACGTGTTTCTCCTTCGAGTCCTGAACTGGCACTCCGCGCCCCCCGGGCAGTCCCCCGTGCCCACCGGGAAGGCCCCCTTCGTGGGGAGACACGAGGGCACCGATACCGCTGCCCTCTGGACTGAAGGGGCCCTGGGACATACAAAATTAATAGACACACACACACACACACACGCGTCAGGATCCCCCATATGTTCCCATATTTTCTGGGTGTTTGCCTTCCCCCCCCCCACTTCCCATAATTTCCTATACTTTCCTGGGAGTCGACGATTCATTGTGTCTGTGTGTTTTTCCTCTCCCCCTGGACCTCTCCCGGGGTGCGTCCTGACCAGAACCTCAAGGCGAATCCAACGGTGGCGACGAGGGCCTCCCAAGACACCCAAGATAGCGAAACAACGAGGGAAGGGTCGCGGTATGGGTACCCTCCCAGACATGCGACGTCCTGATGTTTCTGATTTTTCCCGGACGCCGTCCCTGGAAGCCCCGACGCTTTCCCCGGCTCCGGTTTGTCGTCCTGGGTCGTTCTTGACGGTCCCGAGGCCCAGCGAGGGCACCCTGGGCCCGAGAATGGCCAACAACCTCCAGCCCTGACGTTTTTGCCACGACGCGAGCACGTCTGGGCTGCCGCCCTCCGACCTCGAGGAACGCGCCCTCCTGCTCCTCGTACGCCGCGGTGGGGCAGAGCTTCGCCACCGTCTCCGCCGCGGGCATCCACGTGGTGCTCGGGCCGTCGCTCGCGCCCGAGGGGAGCGGGATCGAGTGGCCCGGGCACCGGCCCGCGCTGTGCACGGTGACCCCAGAGCAGACGGCAGCGCAGCTGCTGTTGTACGTCTTCCCGTCCATGCCGCACACCTCAACGGTTATTTTGGGCAACAAATGAACAATACTCCAAAAATGAACCCGAAATGCTCAAACATGGTAAAAACAAATAAAAAACGTCCCCAGACAATTGTTCTACTATTTTTGAATATTCCTCCAGTAGAGGGACAGGCCCGACTTAACTCAACGGACGAAGACTTCGGCACGTGCAGTGGAGGCCCGTTCACAAGAAGCCTTCCACAAGAGACCCAGCCCTGAGACCCCAGGGCGTCCAGGGATGTTTGGTGTGGGAGCGTCACGCTCTCCATCGCAGAGCCATCGAAGCCCACGGAACCCAGGGCACCCTGGAGGCAATCAGGGTGTTTCTTGGCATGGGTCTCCAGTGTAGCGTTCGCTGGCCCGCCTGCCCCAGGGCGGCGGCGCGTCAGGGTAGACAGTCGGACTCGATGGAGCAGGCCACCCGAGAGGACGCAGGGCTCCTCCGACGGCAACGTGGCCACAGAACACCACGGGACGCGCGAGTTGCCAAGGTCGGGGTAGACAGGACACCAGGGTACTCCGGATTCCATAATAAAGTCGGGGGGGGTCACACATTTGGGGGGAGGTCTGATTTGAGCTGTCTTGGAGGGTTCGGGGGGGTCTGGGCAACGGACCGCCCTTTCATGCATGGTCTGGGAGGGTCTAAAACTTCTCGTCTGGGAGGGTTGAAACCCCCTCCCTTTTATCACGAAATCTGGAGTACCCTCGACTTGGCATGGCCGACCTACCACTCAGGGCCGACTGCATGACGTGTACACTTTCCCACCTTCGGGGGCGCCCGCCCCAGGGCGGCTGGCAAATTGAGACCTGTACGGTGGCACGTCGGGGTATAAACTGTCAAGCCGCCCTGGACAAGAGAGCGCCCTGGATCGAGTCGAGAAGTCAGATCGGCGATCGAAATGAATCGGACCGGCGGGAATCGGCGGCCGAGTCGGGAGAAGTCGAGTCGGCGAAAATCGGCAGGCCAGTACGCGTCCGATGAGAAATCGGAGCCCAAATCGGAATCCCAAGTCGAATCGACTTGGCATCGGAGGCCATCGAAATCTAATCGAATCGAACGTGAGCGTTTTCGTATTCGGCGTTTCGAAATTGAGCGAAAAGGTGGGGATGGGGGGAGTCTGGCTCCGGACCGCTGCTCAATGCGACGGTTTGCAACAGTGCGTCCTGTGGGGGAGGGACTCCACCTGCTTGACACAGGCGCCCAAAAACAGCCAAGACCTGCTCCATGGAAGGGGCGGAGGGCGAGCTGCGAGGGGGCCCGCGCCGCTCGGCGAAACAGTGTGTTAGAAAACGATCACTGTCGGAAGAGTCGACATGAGCACGTCCCGGGGCAAGCACCCCCGACGCGGCGGAACCCTCGGCTGTGTGCCGTGCTTCGCTTATGTCGGGCGTGTCCCCCTACAGGGGGATTTTCGACGAAACATACAAAAAAACCTAAAACATGCCCCAAAGAGGTAACAAAATGCACCAAAGATAGTCCCCAGACTCTTTTTGGACTATGTTTGGACTACTTCTGGGGTGTTGTTTATGTTTCGTCGAAAATCCCCCTTCGGGGATGGGCAGACCCCCCTTTAGTAAAACATGGTTTCGTGAAAACGACCTGAGGCCCAAACCTGGCGGGCGGAAGCCTGGAACATGACGGCCACGGCGCTCTCTCGAGAACCGAACACGGACAATTGACTAATCGACGTGTCACTGCTGGGGGTTCTGTCCCCCCCCGACCCCTGTAGGGGGACACGCCCGACGCAATGCTTCGCCCGCGGAGCACCGGGCTGCGCGCCGCCGGGCAGTCGCAGCTCCCGCGGCCCGGAGCCGCGGGCTCCTCCTCTGGGCGGCCGCACGCGTGTGCGAAGCCCTACAGGGCAGATTTTGATACATGTTTTTTTTCTAACATGTCGGATTTTCAATCCATGACGAATTTATGCATACATTTGTGCATGAACTCATCGTTGCTTTTAGGACTGAATCCCTGCATGTTGAACATTCCGGATTTTTCATACATGACAAATGTATGCAAAATGTTGTGCACGAGATCATCGTTGCTTTTAAGACTGAATCCCTGCATGTTGAATACATGATCCGCACGCGGAGCATGTCTCGAAAACGGCACTGTATACAGTCGGGGCGCTGCCCCCAAGGAGCCCCAAACGAAGAACGAGGCCCTTTCTTCCCCACAGGTCATGCCAGGGACACGAAGAATGACGAAAACAGAAAAACTCGGAGGCCCGCGCGGATTGCTCGGAACCGCGCTGGACCCCCCTCCCTGGCGCGCCGGGGGCGGCGCCGGAGGCGCCGGGTTCTATGCTTATGTCAGTCTTCGTTCCCCTATAAACTTTGAGTTTCCATGGAAGACCTCAGGAAAACCTGAGGCCAGCTGTAAAACAATCGAGGAGCACCGAGCCCCTCCCAAACGCAAAGGGTTGCTTTTTCAGCGCCCCGACTGTACCCCCGCCCCCCACGATACCTGAGGGGGGCGGGGGTTCGCTCGTCTCGGGAGCTCCCGAAAGGAGTGAACCCCCACCTCACCCTGAGAAATCGTGGGGGGGTAGGGTTCACATGTGTAGAAGAAGAACCAGCAACAAAAACAAAAACATAAATTGTTGCCGCTCCGATCGGATTTCTTGGATCCGCGCCGGACCTCCCCCCCCTCCCCAGCGCGCGGAGCGCGCCAGGGGCTGCGCCGGAGGCGTCGCCAAGGGGGGACCGCTGCGTGGATCCAAGAAGTCCGCGCGGAGCGCCAGAAGTTCATGTTCGTGGTGTTTTTTCTTCTTCGAGCGTGGCCACCGACGTGGGGGGTTGGGGCACAGTCGACCTTCTAGGACGCACGGTAAGGATGCAAGGGCCGTGGGAGGCCATGTCGACACTTTGCGAGCGGAGCGCGGCCAGCAAACGCGGCCAAGGATGGGCCGAAGGGGCAAGGATGCAAAGGGTAACGTCGGGAAGGCTGCCCATCCTTCCTATGCGGGTTGACTGTGGAGGGGAGAGGGGGGGGCGGGAAACAGGGCGGGAGGAGGGGAAGATGGGGAGGGGACAGAGAGAGAGAGGGAGGCGAGGGGGTGTGGGGTACCGATGCCGCCACTCCCCAGACCTCTCCTGGGGTGCGTCCTGACCAGAACTTCGAGGCGGATCTGGCGGTGGCGACGAGGGACTCCCACGAGGCCCCCGAAGAGGGGAGAACGAGGGACGGGCAGAGGCATGGAGCGCCCATTCTGAGAATCGCTTATCCGATCCCCATCCCCAGCGGCGTGGCCTGGGCCCCTCTGGCCGATTGACCCCCCTGGATTGGGACATGGGCCGTTCCCTTCGGGCTTCGAGGGGCGTATCCCCAACGGGGGGGTCATTTGGTGGGAGTCTCGAAGGGGCCGGGGACGGGGATGGGGATCGGATGAACGATACCGTTAAGTCGGGCGTGTCCCCCCACAGGGGCATTTTCGACGAAAAATTCGCCGGCCCAACGGGCCAGGGCGTGCTAAGATCTCCGGTAACTGGTTAACAGTATTAACAGTATTTCTAGTTCGCGCGCGCGGGGCGGCCCCTGGGGGTCCCCCGGCGAAAAGTACCCCGACCAACGCCCGGTCGCCGCCCGACCAAGTCTACTCAGAGATGGTTTTCCTTCTGGGTGCGGCCTCTCAGGCTCCCCAGAGCGCGCTCAGAGTGCCCCAAGAGGCCCCCAAGACTGCCCAAGAGGCCCCCGAGACGCCCAAAGAGCGCTCGAAGACGCCGAAGATGACCCCAAGACGGCCCAAAAGGCCCCCAAGACAGCCCAAGAGGCCTCCAAGACGCCCCAAGAGCCTTCCAAGAGGCCTCCGAAGAGAGCCCCAAGAGGCCAAAATCGTTGATTTTCATTTGTTTTTTCTATGTTTTTTGTGTTCTGGCTTTTTCGGCTTCCGGACGCTCCAAGACGGCCCAAGAGGCCCCCAAGACCGCTCCAAGACGGCCCACGAAGCTCCCAAGACGGCGCCGAAACGACCCAAGAGAGCCCTCAAGACGGCCCAAGTGCCGCCCAAGACGGACCAAGAGGCCCCAAGACGGGCCCAAGAGGGACTCAGGAGGGATACCGAGAACTCAAAAATGGAGCCCTCCGTCCCAGAAGGCGCCCAGGAGGTCCCAAAGAGGCCCCAAGAGGCCTCCAAGAGGCCCCAAGATGTCGCCAAGAGGCCCCAGGAGACTCCCAGGAGGCCCAAAAGAAGCCCCAGAAGGCTTCAAACATGTCTCCCAGGCGCCCCCGAACGGCCTCTCAACAGACCCCAAGAGGCCCCCCAAAGAAGCATCTTGACGACGACTCTATTTCGCCCCATCGAGAGACGACCCCCAGGGAACTGCTTCACCATCAAAACTCCCCACGCAACGCGTCCGAACGACACCCGCCCCCAAGAGCGCAACATGGGCAACGAACACACAGACAAAAACCAGCGATGCCATATCACGGGCCGGCGGAATGAGCGAAGCGATTCAATAAAAAATACCTCAAACATAATAACAAAAACATATTCCAAAAATAGTCTGGGGACTATTTTTTTAGTATGTTTTGACTATGTTGGGGTATTTTTTGAATATGTTTCATTTTTCGCCCCGAATCCCCCTGTAGGGGGACACGCCCGACTTAACGATACCGATTTGTCTCCCCTGGCCACGCGCGCGTCCGCCGCTCCTTCGCGTGGACGTCCTGCACCGAGAAGTTGCCAAAGGACACCCGGGCGGGGCAGGCGTCGGGGCGCTCCTCCTGGCAGAGGCCTCGGGCCTCCGAGCCGCGCCGGAGGAGCCAAGAGAGGGAGAGCACAGCCGAGGCACAAAAGCGCAGGTCGGGCACGTCCTCCTACAGGCGAGTTTCGGCTGTTCCTTCCCCTCCACCTCCTCCTGCCCCTCCTCCTCCTCCTCCTCCTTCCCCTCCTCCTCCTCCTCCTCCTCCTCCTCCTCCTCTCCTCCTCCCCCTCCTCCTCCTCCTCCTCCTTCTCTTCCTCCTCCTCCTCCTCCTCCTCCTCCTCAGGAGGAATGCAGAATAGCCACAACAGACTCAACAGAGGATCAGACAAGTATAGTCGGCACGTCGTCCCCGGACGATGTCCTGGCCACTGCGGGGCATCCCTCCTGCAGAGCGGGCCGTGCCCGACCTGAGCAGAAACACTCTCGGAGATCCGCGCGGCCTTCTCGGGTCGGGGCTGAGCCCCGCCCCCCCCCCTCGGCTACACGCGGGAGTGGCCCCGGGGCAAGAGCGCAGTAAGGAACCGGGGGGTAGGCGACACCGACACCACCAGGGCGAGGAGGCGCGAGGAGGCAAGGGAGGGTCTCCCGGGTGGCGTGGCCCCCCCGCCCTCTCGCTCGAGACATCCCCAGCCTCCAGCTCGGTGGAGGTGGGCCCCTCTGGTGGTGTTGGTGTCGCTTCTCCTCCCTCCGAGAGTGAGTGACCTTTGGTGCACGGCTTTCGGGGAGCCGCGGGGGGGGGGGGGGGCAACCCAAGCGAGCAAGGCGCTACTGTCGCAATGCGCTCGGCGATCGGGGGGACCCGGGTGGGCCCGCATCGAAGGTCAATCCCTGCGACCTCTTACGTGTAGACGACTCTCTCCCTGGTGCGTGGAGCGCGCCGGGGGCGGCGCCCGAGGCGCCGCCAGGGGGCCCAAGAAAGCCGTGCGGAGCTACGGCTGTCTATGCTTAGGTCGGGCATGTCCCCCTACAGAGGGATTTTGCACGAACAATCAACATACTCAAAACGTATGCAACAACATTTTTTGATGCAACAAAACCCCCCAGGCTATGTCTGAACTATGTTTGAGTACTCCTCTTGTGGAGGAACACGCCCGCCCTAAGTCTGTGCTCATGCCCTCTTTCCTCCTTCGAGCTGTTCCCGTCCAGCCACGCCATGTCCTAAGAAGGGAGCGTGCATGGAGCTGCGCGCACGCGCTGGCCCTCGCAAGCCTCAGCCTGGGCACAAGGTGGGAGGCATACTTACAGGGCAGTTTTTTAATACATGGGATGTTTAGAAGATAGGGTTTTAATACATGATAAATTAAGGAATGAAATTATGCATGAACCCATCGTTGATTTAGTACTAAGTCCCTGCATTCTTAATACATGATCTGCACGCGGAGCATGTATTAAAAACGACACTGTACGCGCTCCTGTTTTCGGCCAGAGAGACGTATGCAACGATCCTGGGCCCTGGCCCAACCTGACCAAGATCGGTGTACGGTCACCGGGAGACCAACAGGCATCGAACCACGTCATGTCCGTGAACAGAGACTGCCCTATGCACCTACACCGAACCTCGCCAGCCTCATCCCGGGCACAAGGTCCGTGCACGCGCGCTCCTGGCTCAGCCAGGGAGGCACATGCAACGATCCTGGGTCCTGGCTGGGCCTGGCCAAGTTCGGTGCGTGTCCCTTCGGGAAACCAGAAAATATCGATACCGCGACTCCCCGGACCTCTCCCGGGGTGCTTTCTGACAAGGATTTCGGAGCGAATCCAGAGGTGGCCTCGTGGAAGGGGACAGCAGGCGACGCGTAGCGGCGTGGGCACGCTTTCCCCCTCGGGTTCATACTTCTCCCCGCCCGAATCCTGCGAGCTCCAGTAGCTGACCACGAGGGTCATGCCGTCCTCCAAAGCGCGCGACAGCTCGAGCAACCCGTCCTCGCCCCCCACGCTGTAGCTCGCCACGCTCGCGTGCAGCGGGCAGCCGCTCCCGGCCTGGAGCAGCGTCACCTCCACCGAGTGGAGGACCCCGTGCTTGCCGAAGGAGGGAAACAACCCGCACGCAGGATTTGTTTTGTGGTGGGTTTTGACATGTGGCCGAAGGGTGGGGGAGGAGGAGGAGGAGGAGGAGGAGGAGGAGGAGGAGGAGGAGGAGGAGAAGGAGGAGGCGGAGGAAGAGGGGGAGGAGGAGGAGGTGGAGGAGGAGGAGGAGCGGAGGAGGCGGAGGAGGAGTAGGAGAAGGAAGAGGAGGAGGAAGAGGAGGAGGAGGAGGAGAGGAGGAGGAGGAGAGGCGGAAGAAGAGGAGGAGGAGGAGGAGGAGGAGGAGGAGGGGGAGGAGGGTCTGGGCCAGCCAGTGCTGAGTCGTCGATATGCTTCCGCCAGCCGCGGGGCAATGGGCCCTGACCAGTCGCCAGAAGCAGCCAAGCTCTGGTCCACGGGGGGGGGAGGGAATGGCCTGGCGGGGCCTGGCGGCCGCGGCATGCAGGCGTCACTCGTCGAAGGCGCGAGGCGGGGTGCCCAGGCCGAAGGGTGGGGGAGGAGGAGGAGGAGGAGAAGGAGGAGGAGGAGGAGGAGGAGGAGGAGAGGAGGAGGAGGTGGAAGAGGAGGAGGAGGAGGAGGAGGAGGAGGGGGAGGTGGAGAAGGAGGAAGGGGAGGAGGAGGAGGAGGAGGAGGAGGAGGAGGAGGAGGAGGAGGAGGAGGAGGAGAAGGAGGAGGAGGAGGAGGAGGAGTAGGAGAAGAAGGAGGAGTAGGAGGAGGAGGAGGAAGAGGCGGAAGAGGAGGAGAAGGAGGAGAAGGAGGAGGAGGAGGAGGAGGAGGACGGGGTGCCCAGGGATCGCCGGCACGCTTCGAGCCTGGCGGCTGCGGTACATGCAGGGCGCGGCGCGAGGCGGGGCGGGAGTCAAGCGCTCGACTTCGACAGCCCCAACCTGTCGGGTGGGGAATACGCGGGCCTCGCCATCGCTCGAAGTCCATTCCCTGTGTTTTTTTTTCGGTTTCGTGCATGTTTTTGTTCGCCAAATGGTCAAGGATGCTTCTCGATGGTCCTCGCCGAAGGAAAAATGCACACGTCCGAGCGATGCCTAGGAGAGGACTACCCCTTCGGAGGACCGCGCGGTCTTTTGTTTGGGGATCGGCGGTTCGGCCCCCCTCCCTGGCGAGCAGAGCGCGGCGCGGGGGTCGCTGGAGGCGCCGCCAGGGGGCCCAACGCCGGTCCAGGACGTATCCGCGCGGACCTCCGACAGTTTTTGTCTGCTCAGCTTCTTCTCCTTCGAGCTTGGTCGTAGGGAACGCCACCTGCACCGAGAAGGGGCGGGAAGTGTTGATGCACCGGCCGCCCGGCCCGTACTCCTCGCTCGTCCAGTGGAGGAGCTCGGGCCCGAGGCCCACGCCGACTCCCTCGCGGTCCTCGCTGGTGTGGAGCGTGGTGCGGAAGGCGTGGGAGTTCGCCTCCTGAGAGGCCTCCCAAATGCGCTTCGAGCAGATGGGGTCGGAGGGTCGCGCCGCATCGCCGATGCATCGGCGATGCGCGGCGCGATCCAACAACCCCATCTGCTTCTACCCAGTTGGGGGGCCCGGATCCGGAACAGGGCGAATGGAGACAGCGATGGCTCAAAAGCTGCCCCTGGACCTTCCCGGGGTCCAGCACACACACACACACACACACACACGTTTACCGAGCTGCATCCAGCTCTGGCGACGACGGCCACCCCGGAAGGCCCACTGCCGCCTGGCCATCGCTCGGACGTCTATTCCCTGTGTTTTTTTCTGTTTCGTGCGTGGTATTTTCGCCAAATGATCAAGGATGCTCCTCGATGGTCCTCGCCGAAGGAAAAATGCAAACGTCCGAGCGATGCCAAGCCGCTGTCTCCATTCGTCCTCCCCAGGGCGCAAAAACTGCATAAGCATAGACCTCTCGGAGGCCCGCGCGAATCTCTTGGACCTTGGCGGCGCCAGACCCCCCTCCCTGGCCTGCGGAGCACGCCACGGGCGGCGCCTCCCCGCCAGGCGGGCCCAGCGCAGGTCCAAGAGATCCGCGCGGAACTCCGACAGTTTCTGTTCTCATGTATCGGCGGCGAGCGAGGGGGGGGGAGCGAGAAGGGGGCGGGCCTTCTCAGAAGGCTCGGACGTCTCCCAGCCGTCTGAAAAGTTTTCTGAGCCTGAAGACATGGTCATTCTCAATATCCGAGCGTCAGCGAGTCCACGTGGAAAACGACACCGAAAGAGACGCCGACGACTAGGACGACTTGAAATAGATGCTTCCTCCTTCCGTCCTCCTCCTTCTCCTCCTTGTCCTCCTCTTCTTCCACCTCCTTTCCCTATGAACACCTATCAGGAAAACCCATCCGTGAAGGCGAGAACGGGCCCATGCAATACCTCCTGGCGCCCCCCCTTGGGAGTGCTGAAACCAGCGCCTCGCCTGAGACATCCTCGGAAACCGCTCCGAGAGAGGATGTTGATCACCCAAACGGGCAAACCGCCTGAGACATCCCCCAATCTGGGCGCGAACGGGCCCGTGCGATAAATACCCCCTTGCGTCCCCCCTCGGGAGTGCTGAAACCAACGCCTCGCTTGAGGCATCCTGAAGGATGTTGGGCACCCAAACAAGCAAACCGCCTGAGACAACCCCCCCAATCTGGGCGCGAACGGGCCTGTGATATACCCCCTGGCGGCCTTCCTTGGGAGTACTGAAACCAGCGCCTCGCCAGAAACGTCCTCGGAAACTGCTCCGAAAGCGGAAGATGCCGGGCACCGAAACAGGCAAACCGCTCGAGACATCCCCACCATTTTGTCGCGAACGGAGGAATTCAATACCCCATTGCGGCTCTCCCTTGGAGGCGAAACTGAGGGCCTCGCTCGAGACATCCTCCAAATCAGCTCCGAAAGCGGAGGATGTCGGGCACTAAAACAGAAAAGCTGCTCGAGACATCCTCGCCATTTTGGCGCGAACGGAGGAATTCAATCAATACCCCCTGGCGGTCCCCCCTTGGAGGCGAAACTAAAGGCCTCGCTCGAGACGTCCTCCACATCATCTTCGAAAGCGGAGGATGTCCGGCACCAAAACAAGCAAACCGCTCGAGACATCCCCGCCATTGTGATGCGAACCGACGGGTGCAATACCCCCTGGCGCCCCCCCTTGGGAGCACTGAAACCAGCGCCTCGCCTGAGACATCCTCACAATCTGGTCTAAACGCAAACGATGCTGGCCACCGAAGCAGGTAAACCGCAGTAAACATCCCCACGAACTGGCCGCGAACGGGCCCGTGCAATACCTCCTGGCGGCTCCCCTTACGCAAACGATGTTGGCCACCGAAGCAGGCAAACCGCCTGAGACATCCCCGCAAACTGGCCGCGAGCGGGCCCGTGCAGTACCTCCTGGCGGCTCCTCTTAGGGGTGCTGGAACCAGCGCCCCGCCTGTCACATCTCCACAAACTGCTGTCAATACAAACGATGTTGGGCACCGCAACAGGCAAACCGCCTGAGAGGCCGTGCGATACCCCTCTGGCGGCTCCCCTTAGGGGTGCTGAAACCAACACCCCACCAGAGACATCCCCCGGATCTTCTGAATTTGAATGGATGACCGCGACAGGGCCTGGCATGAGTGAATCCGGGAGAGTATGATTATGAGTAAGTCTGAATGTGAACAACTCTGAACAGTATGAGTGCGAAGGAGTCTGAGTATGGACGAATCTCAGTAGAAGGAGACGAGAATGGGAGGAGGCCGGACTGAGGAGTCGGCGGCGTCAGAAAAATTTCTCACTGCGTGGAGCTCCTGATGTAGATCTCCCCAGCGCTCGTCCACTCACGCAAGTGATGGACCAGGACAGCCTTCCACCCTGAACGCCCTACCAATACTCGGATCACCCGGTCCCCTTCAGCGAAAGGGCTCTTCCATCTCGCACGGCCCCCCACCTGGCGCAGAGGAGGATTCTGCATCACCAGCCCTTCCCGCACTCACTCACGGGGGATGGGGCACACTGACGGGCTCCGCCCCCACTCACAGAGAGAATGGATGCAGATGGCCTTCACCCTAGAACGCCCTTTCCTTATGCGGGCCACCAGATCTGCCATGCATACCGATCCCTCCAGCCTGCACGAGTCTCCAATGTTGCAGAAAAGGCGCTCTGCGTCATCAGTCGTTGCTCCACTCACACACAGGATGACGAACAATGGCGGTCTCCGACCCTACTCAGAAATATGATGGACGGGGATGGCCTTCAAATGAGAGCGCCCTCCTGCGAATCACCGGATCCGCCCCGGATAACGATCCCCCAGCCTGCACGAGCCTGCACAGCTGCAGAAAAAAGTTCTGCGTCATCAGCCATTTCTCCACTCACCCACCCGGGGTGTAACAAAGAAGGCCTTCAACCAAGAACGCCCTGCCGTCCTGTGGATCACTGGATCTGCCCCCTGAGGCCAACCCCCCCGAGGCCGACTCGGCCCCCGGAGGCCCGAGCGAGGACGCGACACAGGTGCATGGAGGAAGCGCACAGGAGAGGGAGCGGAGGAGCGAGAGAGAAAAAAGGAAACTAGCGCCCTTAAGGGTGCTGAAACCGGCGCCCCGTCTCAGACATGCTCCAAATCTGCTCCGAAAGCAAAAAGGAAGTTGACCCACAAAACAAGCGAACCGCCTGAGACATCCGCACGAACTGGCCGCGAACGGGCCCGTGACATACCCCCTGGCGGCTCCCCTTAGGGGTGCTGAAACCAGCGCCCCGCCTGAGACATCCTCCAAACCTGCTCTGACAGCAAAAACATAGTGAGCCACGAAACAAGCAAACCGCCTCAGACATCCCCAAACTAGCCGCGAACGGGCCCCGAGAAAACACCCGAGGCGGTTCCTTGTAGGGTGCTGAAACCAGCGCTCCACCTGAGACATCTTCACAAACGGATGTAAACGCGGACGATGTTGAGCACGGAAACAAGCAAACCGCCCGAGACATCCCCGCAAACTGGCCGCGAACGGGCCCGTGAAAACACCTCCTGGCGGCTCCCCTTAAAGGTGCGACAACAAAAACGGCGCCCCGCCAGAGACATCCGGGCCCATGCAATACCCCCTGGCGGCCCCCCTTGCGGGTGCTGAAACCAGTACCCCGCCTGAGACATCCTCACAATCTGCTCTAAGCGTAGACGATGTTGGCCACCGAGACAGGCAAACCGCCTGAGACATCTCCGCAAACTGGCCGTGAACGGGCCCGTGCAATACCCACTGGCGGCTCCCCTTGAATGTGCTGAAACCAGAGCCCCGCCTGAGACATCCTCACAATCTGCTTTAAACGCAAACGACGCTGGCAACCGAAACAGGCAAGCGGCCTGAGATATCTCCACAAACTGGCCGCGAACTGGCCCATGCAATACCCCCTGGCCGCTCCCCTTAGGGGTGCTGAAACCAGCGCCCCGCCTGTGACATCTTCACAAACTGCTGTCAACACAAAAAGGTGTTGGGCACCGCAACAAGCAAACCGCCTGAGAGGCCGTGCGATACCCCTCTCGCGGCTCCCCTTAGGTGTGCTGAAACCAACACCCCACCAGAGACATCCTCCGGATCTTCTGAATTTGAATGGATGACTGCGACAGAGTCTTGGCATGAGTGAATCCGAAAGAGTATGAGTATGAGTGAGTCTGAATGTGAACAACTCTGAATCGTTTGAGTGCGAATGAACCTGAGTATGGACGAATCTAAGTAGGTGGAGACGAGAAAGTGAGGAGGCGTGACTGAGGAGTCGGCGGCGTCAGAGAAATAACAAGAACCCCATCTTAGGATATAGGGAATAACAATAACCCTATCTGGGAACAAACAACATCGCAAAAGGCGCGAGGGCTTCTGCGAAGTCCCGCCGCCTTCTGACAAGGCCTTCTCTTTCTCACCTCCCCCCCTCGCTTGCTTGCCGCCGAATGTAGCTGCTACTTCTTTGGACTCCTGCAGGTCGATCTCGGCGCAGCTCTCCCCGCACACGGCGTTGGCGTCGCAGTAGTGGTCCATGCACTGCGTCGCCTCACTGTTCTGGCGCATGGACGCAAGGTACACCGCCGCGTTGCAGCCGCAGCCCGCGCCGGCGAGGTCCACGGTGTAGCGCACCGACTTCCCGAGGAGCCGCATGGGGCGATGGTGGAAGAAGGAACAAACTGCATGGGCGTAAACTTCTCACGAAACCTCGGCTCTATCAGGGGTCGCCGTGGCCGAAACAGTGCCCGAACACCTGCCCGAATGTGACTGACATTGGCGCCCGAAACTTTCCGACCGCGCCCGAATGAGACCCAACTTGTTGGTTCGAAACCAGCACGTTTTTTCAACGTCGGTCACGCTTTCGGCGACACTACGATTCCCGCCACAACTTCGGGCACGTGTTCCGTTACATGTTTGTGGGTCACACATCTTTCTGGCTTACAATGACCAGGCGCTAAAGCTCCGCGCAGATTTCTGGGATCTCTGCTCTGGACTCTCCTCCCCATGGAGGTCCCAGAACAATGCTTGGACAGAGCGTGCGGTGACCTCGGACTCCCCAACGACCTCACCGTAAGGTCAGTAACCGCACCGCTTCGGGACTTTGGAAGCCGCAGTGACTAGAAGGAAAAACGCAATGAACATAAGCTTGTGGCGCTCCGCACGGATTTCTTGGATCCGCGCTCGGACCCCCTCCATGGCGCGCGGAGCGCGCCAGGGGCGGCAGTCAGAGGCGCTGCGGGGGGGGCCCAACGCGGATCCGAGAAATCCGCGCAGAGCGCCAAACGTTCTATGCTTATGGCGTTTTTTCTTCTTGGGTGGTAGTCCCAGTGACACGAGACATCCGCGGCGAACAGCCCGAGTCTCAACTCCGTAGGGTCAACCCGAACCTCCACTGACTCACCGCACAGTGTGGTCACCGCACCGTCTGGATCCCTGGCTCTGCAGGGCGGCCCAGCGCAGATCCAAGAATTAGGTCGGGCACGTCCTCCTTGGAAGAAAAATAAAGCAATGTCAACCTTACGAAGGACCCAACCATATGCAGCTGCGAGTACCGCGAGGGAGATGAGACGGAGGAGGGGGGCCCGCGTTGTCAAAACCCCGTGCGCAAACAAACCCTGCCACAAGCCTTGGGTGGAGCTCCATACTGGGCCACGAACCGTCTGAGGGGTGCGCCAGAAAGAGTCGCGGGGACGCATGTAAAAACTGCAATGGGGGCCGTCGGTGGAGCTCCCTATGGGGCCACGAACCGTCTGAGGGGTGCGCCGAAATGAGCCGCGGGGACACATGTGAACCCTGCCATGGGGCCTTCCGTGGAGCTCCCTATGGGGCCACGAACCGTTTGAGGGGTGCGCCGAAGTGAGCCGCGGGGACGCATGTGAACCCTGCCACTGGGGCCGTCGGTGGAGCTCCCTATGGGGACACGAACTGTGTAAGGGTTGTCCCGAAATGACTTGCGGGGACTCATGTAAACCATGCCACAGGGGCCTTCGGTGGAGCTCCCCATGGGGCCACGAGCCGTGTGAGGGGTGTGCCGAGATGAGTCGCGGGGACGCATGTAACCCCCGCCACGGGGGCCTTCGGTGGAGCTCCCCATGGGGCCACGAGCCGTGTGAGGGGTGTGCCGAGATGAGTCGCGGGGACGCGTGTGAACCCTCCCACGGGGGCCTTCGGTAGAGCTCCCCATAGGGGCCACGACACGTGTGAGGGGGGTGCCAACATTGGTGGGGGGACGCATGCGAACCCTGCCACGGGGGCCTTCGGTGGAGCTCCCAAAGAGGCCACGAAGCGAGTGAGGGGTGTGCCGAGATGGGCGGGGGGACGCATGCGAACCCTGCCACGGGGGCCTTCGGTGGAGCTCCCTATGGGGCCACGACACGTGTAAGGGGTGTGCCAAAATTGGCGGGGGACGCATGCGAACCCTGCCACTGGGGCCTTTTGGTGGAGCTCCCTGTGGGGCAACGAAGTGTGTGAGGGGTGTGCCGAAATGGACCAGGATGGAGGATGAAGTGAGCACGACTGAAAGCAGGATGGAGGATGGAGGGGGAGGAGGAGGAGGAGGAGAAGGAGGACGAGGAGAAGGAGGAGGAGGAGAATGAGGAGGATGAGGAGGTGGAGGAGGAGGAGGAGGAGGTGGAGGAGAAGGCGGGGAAGGAGGAGGAAGAGGAGGAGGAGGAGGAGGAGGAGGAGAGGACGAAGGAGAACGCGGGGCGCTGTCTCTTCAAAACGAGAACCCAACACCACAGGATGGTTGGGAAATATAAGAAATCGGCAGAAATACTAGAAACATCGTCCCCAGACGATGTTTGACAATTTTTGAATGTTCCTCCTGTAGGGAAACATGCCCGACTTACTCCAAAGAACTGCGCGCGGATCCTCGAACAACTTAGGCGACGAGAAGGAGCCTGCGCGAGAAGACATGGCGACCCCACGCCGCGGCTGACGCGGGCCGCCACCGCGACACGCTACACTGGAAACGAGGGCGCTGACGCGCGACCTTACGCGGGAAGCTTACGCGCGAAGGTCCGCGTACATGGCGGCGAGCGAGGGGAGTGGAAGTGAGAAGGAGAAGGCCCTCTCAGAAGGCGGCAAGACTTCTCGGAAGCCTTCGCGCCTTCTGAGAGGTTTTTGCTCACAGCTTCGGAGAAGGCTGAGGAACCTTCTGAGAAGGCCCGGGGGACTTCCGAACCTTCTGAGAAGGCCTTCCCCTCCTCACTGCCCACCCTCGCTCGCCGCCGAGCTTCCTTCCGTCGCTCCTTTGCTGTCCGTGCCGCCCTTTTCTTCTTCGAACTAGTGGCTGCGGTTGTAGAGGCTCTCCCCCTCGAAGCACTCGTCCGCGAAATAGGTGCGGCCCTGCAGGCCTTGGGGATCTTCTTACCCGGGTCAACCAAACTCGGGAGCGGCCAAGAGGGGGGTTTACAAGAGGGGGGAGTGCAAATCATGACCAGCGGCATTTGCGCGGCCCAGCGGGGGGGCCAGGGACGTAATGCAATAAGAAGAGGCGCCATAAAACCTGGGGAAATATCATGGCCCGCGCCATGATATCTACCCCCCCTAGTCATCACCCCCCTCTTTGCCGCCCCCGACAAACCCTGGGTCAGCAAGAAACCAAAAAACTACAATGCAAAAAAACGAAAACTACAACGCACGTCTTCGCAAGCCCGGGTCAGCCAATATGCGCGGCCGCCTGGCGGCCGCGAGCGGCTCGCTAACCCGGGTAAGCCAAAAGGTGTCTTCGCAGGATCCTGCAGGATCCGGTGCCCTGGATGACCCCCGTTTGCATAGACCCCCGTCTGAACGCTCCCGAAGGCCTGCCGACAACGTGCCGCCGGGGAGCACCTCCACGTCGCCAGAGGGCGCCCCTGGCAGCACAAGCAAATAACGGGTACGGACGGGGAGCGTCGGGGGGAGGGACTGGCTCCTGTATACTGAGGGGGCACGACAGGGAACGCGCGAGGTTCACCTCGAAGTCGAACCTCTCAAATCCGAGGCTCGAATCCGAGGCTCGGATTCGAGCCTCGAATTCGAGGTTCGAGACCTCTCGAACCTCGGGAGGAGGAGGCGGAGGAGGAGGAGGAGGCGGAGGAGGAGGAGGAGGAGTCCAACCTCGATTCCCGGCGGCCTCCCAGCCCCGGGATGCTGTCCAGCGGCGGCGGCGCCTCGCCGAGAGCATCCCCAGGGGGTTCCCAGATCACCCTGGACGGGCGCCGGAGGTCCGAAAACCACCAAGGGAGACCTGCTCAGGGGGGCTCTTATTAGGATCTACTAAAACGACGCGAAGATCGGGACAAAATCGGATCGGGATAACTCGAAATCTCTGAGAATCGGCGGGTTTGGAGGATGTATTGGGCGCCGCGGCCGCTCCAAAGCGTTCCGGAACGCTCTGAGAGCGCTCCGGAACGCTCTGGAGCGATTTATTCCGATCCTAGCCCTGTTTTTTCTACGCCAGATTGTCAATTGGACCTTACACTGGCCAAACCATGTTTACACCGGCCGCGCGGATTCACGGGCCAAGTGGGCCTTTCACTGGCAAGAGGCGTCAAACGTAACAATATGTAGTGCTCGTTGGTGTGAAGCGAAGAACGCTCGGGTCCACAGAAGTCTGTACACTGGAATTCTGGAAAATCCATGCTTTTATCACTTGTGACTTGCCAATACAATGACCAACCTGGCCAGGATGGTAAACACGTTGGGTCACCAATGATGGTATGGATGGTGATGGCGATGGTGACGGTGACGGTGATGGTGACTAGGATGATGATGCTGCTTATGGTGATGCTGATGATGACGATGATGATGACGACGATGATTAAGATGACGACGACGATGATGATGACCATGATGATGGTGATAACGATAATGACGAGGAGTATGATGACGACGATGATTGGGAGGATAATGCTATTGATAACGATGACGACCACGACGGTGATGACGATGATGATGACGGTGATGCTGACGGTGTTGATGGTGAGGTGATGGTGGTTGTGATCGTGGTGGTGGTGATGATGATTCTGATGTTGGTGATGAGGATGTTGATGCTGATGATGATCATCAGGATCGTGATACTTATGATGGTACTGATACAGACGATTATGATGACGACGATGACGATGTCGAAGGCGACGACGACAAAGATGTTGATGTTGTTGCTGATGATGAGGATGATGAGGATGATGACGACGACGATGGTAAAAGTGAGGATGAACCATGGGGAGTCCTCCCGGATTTCTCTCAGGAGTCCTCAGGGTTCCCCTCAAGAGTCCTGGGGACTCCCCTCGGCAGTTCTCAGGATCCCTCAGAATTCCTCAGGATCCCTCAGGATCCCGCAGGAACCCGCAAGATCCCTCGACATCCCGCAGGATCCCGCAAGATCCCTCCGGATCCCGCCGGATCCCTCAGCATCCGGCAGGATCCCTCAAGATCCCTCAGGATCTCTCAGGACTCCTCAGCATGCCGCAGGGTCCCGCAGAATCCCTCAGAATACCACAAGATCTGTCCCTCAAGATCCCGTAGGAGCCCTCAGGACCCCTGAGAATCCCGCAGGATCTCGTAGGATCCCTCAGGATCCTTCAGCATCCCTCCAGAAAATCCTCAAGATCCCTCACCATCTCCCAGGATCCCTCAGCTCTCTTCAGAATCCCGCAGCATCCCTCCGGATCCCTCAGGATCCCTCAGCATCCATCAGGACACCTCAGGATCTCTCAGGATCCTTCAGGATCCCTTTGTGAATCCCTCTGGATCCCTCAGTTGAGCCCTGCAGGGCTTCCCCTCAGTATGGGCGGAACAGGAGGCGCGTTCTGCGGAGGCTCCGGAGCGCGCTCTCAGACAGCCGGTGAAGACACGGTTCGGCCGATGGAAGGTCCACTTCGCCTGTGTAGACCCTTTTCTCGCTCAGGGAGGAAGGGGTGGGGAACACCGACCTGGAATCGGCCATACACCTCCGATCACGAAATCGTTGACGAGCCCTCGCCGGCGACTCCGCACGGTTCTGTGCGAAGCAAGGCCGTCGGGCCCCTCTCGGCGATCCTCGGGCGATCAGGGGTCGGTCACCTCGCCATCGCTCTCGGACGTCCATCCCCCGTGCATTTTTTTCGATTTCGTGCGTGCATGTTCCACTAAATGCTCAAAGATGTTCCTCGATGGCCCTCGCAGAGGGGGAAAAAAAAAAGCACACGTCCGAGCGACGCCACGTCACCGCATGGCCCCCGGAGCCTGTCCCCCCCACGACGCCGTCCACGAAAGGCAGCGGCACACACACGACAATTGTCAGAGGCCCGCGCAGGTCTCTCTTCGGTCGGTGCTGGGCCCGCGGGTCCCTCAGGCGCGCAGGTCGCGCGCCGGGGGCGGCGCCCCGCTCGGTCCACAACGCCCACCGGAGGCGATCCGCGCGGACACCGAAATTCATCGTGCGGATGCCGTGTTTAGACGAGCGCGTTCTACCACTCGCAAAGTGACTACTCGCAAATGGCCAGGATGCGCCGCGGGGGATCTACCATACATGACATCAAAGCCGACCTATGTTTTTCGGACGTTTGCGAGTAGGCACTTTGCGAGTAGTGGAACGCGCTCGGTGAGCGTTCGCCCTGCCAAGCTCCAGGAGTGTTCCACGCCGCGTTCACCAGGGACGCGCTGGGGCCGCTCCTCCCCACGTCCTGGGGGGGGGGGCAGGAGGTGACGCTCTCATCTCGCAGCTCCCTGGGCCTCCCCCGCGGTGGCGATGGCCCCCCCAGGATACCCGAAGGGGCGAAACAGGGGGGCACGTATCGCATTCGGCATGTCCGCCACCTCTGAGCCTCCGACCTACTTCGCTCAGCATCGGTCCTCGGACCCGTCCTGGCACTTCTCTTCCGTGACGGGGCTGCGCCTGATGGCCCGAAAAGCCCGAAACCCAACTCTCTGTTGAGCAGGGGCCGACCGTCCCGGGATCATTCCTATAGTCCTACCAAGCAATGTTCATCGAACCCAGGAGTGTTCTAAGAACAAAACAATGTTCTTAGAGCATAAGCCCGATGCGATCAGACAAGACATGTTCCTCCAGAAATGTTCTAAGATGATTTCGTGGGAACCACAAAATGTTCTTAGAACTTTGTTTGGTAATGCTAGAGGCGAGCCAGGACGCTTCGCCACCGCTTGACTCTGGAAGCCGAGGACAGGAAGAAGGAGCTGCAGACCCGAATTTCGGCATCGGTGCCATGACGAGGGAGGGGCGGTGAACGCAGTGCGGTCGGGCCCGAGACACTGTGCGTGCTCGAGGGGGCTCAGCGGACGCCCCGAAGGCAGAAATCCTCCTCCTCCTCCTCCTCCTCCTCCTCCCTCCTCCCTCCTCCCTCCTCCCTCCTCCCTCCTCCCTCCTCCCTCCTCCCCCCTCTCTCCTCCCTCCCCCCTCCTCGAGAGAGGGCCGCGACGTCTGGGAGACATCGGGTCCCCGCCACGATCTCCCGCACACCCATGTGCGGCCAGACCCAGGACAGAAACGCACCCTTCAGGAGAACGAGACCCTGCGCCGGCAAGAGGGCAGAACATTCGAGGATGCCCTCCCCCAGGATGCACACGAACATCCAACACACACACACACACATTCACACACACACACACATTCACACACACACCACACACACCACACACACACACACACACCACACACACCACACACACATTCACACACACACACACACATTCACACACTCACTCACACACACATTCACACACACACACATTCACACACGAAGAGCATCGGGGTAGCCTCCCCGAGCCGACCTCGATCTTAGACCTCGGCCCGACCGCACTTCTCACCCCCGCACCCTGATAGGACGCGGGCAGAGGGACAACCGCTCGACCCCCAAAGTCGGACCTCGGCTGTACTGTAGCTTGCGACTTGGGCACCTCCAAATACCTCCTCCTCCTCCTCCTCCTCCTCCTCCTCCTCCTCCTCCCTCGTCCTCGTCCTCCCTCCTCCTCCTCCTCCTCCTCCTCCTCCTCCTCCTCCTCCTCCCCTCCAAATACCTACCTTCAACGACCGACGGGTAATCCTCATCCCCGCCCTGGTGGACTTCTAGAGGCCTCCTAGATGGGGTCGGAATAGATGGGGTCGGAGGATCGAGACGCATCGGCGATGCATCGTCGATGCATTGGCCATGCACCCGCGACACCAGCAATGCATCGGTGACGCCGGCGTGGAGAACATGGGGCTTGACATCAAGCCGCACCACCGATGCTTCGACGATGCGGCGCGATCCTCCGAGCCCATCTACTCGGACCCCATCTATCGGGAGCGCGCAAACATGGATTAACGATCCTTGGAGTGTGCGGTCGCCAAACCCATGGATCGGGAGAGGTGCCCTCCCCAAAATGCGGCTGGCTCGCCGCCTCGCTCGGCGGCGGAACGGGGGCCGTCGCTAATCCATGCCCCCTTGATCCTTGTTTGCGATCGCCTGAGAATACCAGGCTCCCATGATTTGCTACCGAACCCGTCCGACCAAGGCCGGTGGTCTTTCCTCCCCCGACGTTGTCTGCTGACGGCCCCATTCGTGATCGCCTGACAACTCAGGAGGCCTGGATCTTCGGGTTCTACCCTGGGGCCCAAGCGGCCACTCTGGACGATCTGGGGGCACCCCTGGAGCGCTCTCGAAGCGCAGCCGCCGGAAAAAAAAACACCCCAGGGCGGGGAAGGCCAGGGACGGGGCGCCATGAAATCTGGGGAAACATCATGGCCCACGACATAATATCCACCCCCCTAGTCTTAGGTCGGGTATGTCCCCTTACAGGCGGATTTTGGATGAACCAAAAAAAACGTCGAAATGCTCTCAAACCTAAGAAACAATTGCCTCAACATCGTCCCCAGGCCTTCGGCATTGCCTCAGCAGAAAAAGCAGAAGGGCCGAACACCGTCCAGAACGTAGGTTAAGGTCGGGCATGTCCGGGCGGATCTTGGACGAAGAACAAGTCAGACCAGCAACAATATTCAAACGTAGCCAAAAATGCCCCAACACATCGTCCCCACTGTTTTTTTTGACTTGTTTCAATAAAATGTTCCTCCCGTAGAGGGACGCGTTCGAAATACCTGTGGAGTTAGGTCGGGCGTGTCCCCCTACAGGAGGATTTTCGACGAAAAATAAAAGATACCCCACAAATGCCCCACAATGGTCAAAAACTGTTCAAAAAATCGTGCCCTGACTATTTTTGGGCAATCTTTTGATTATTTTTCAAACTATTTTTTATTTTTCGTCGAAAATCCCCCTGTAGAGGGACGTGCCCGAAGTACCCCTGGAGGCCTCGATCCCCTCCCCGGGAGACACCGGCTTCGCGGCCCGAGCCGCGGCTTCCAAGGGATCCCCACGAGCCCGAGGGCCCCCCCGAGGGCCGAGCTTGCGCGAGGGCCCCCCGTCGAGACTCTGTTGCCACGACGCTCGGGGGGAACGGAAAGGGGGGTGTTGCCAGAAGTACCCCTGGCCCAAGGTACCCCCAGGATTCTCGGGGTGGTCCAGGTGGCCTCCAGGGTACCCCTCACGAGGCCCAGAGGGCCCCAGGAGCGCAGAGGGCTCTCGGGGGGAACGAAAGGGGGGGGAATAGCCAAGGATTGAAAATCCTGGAGGCCTCGCGCGGCAACTTGAGGTCCGATATGCGTCGGACATACGTCGGGTTTACGTCGGGTTCACGTCGGACAACGTCGGATTTACGTCGGAATTACGTTGGACTGACTCCTGAGCATCGCCGCGCGAGCGTCGACCCATAGCTTACGGAACTGACAAGTGGACTAGATCATACTACTATTTCGCGCCGCGCGAGGCCTCCATGATTTTCCTCAAAATTTAACCGATCCCCATCCCCAGCGGCGTGGTCCGGGCCCCACTGGCCGATTCTACTACCCCCCTATAGATGGGGATATGGGCCGCTCCCTCCGGGTTTCGAGGGGTGCATCCCCAGCTGGGGTGGCAACTTGGTGGGGGTCTCGAAGGGGATGGGGATGGGGATGGGGATCGGTTAAACGATACCGAAGGGTAGGTTAGATGATCAGCTCACGTAGCTGATTTGCCCAGCGCCTCCCTGCACCGGGAGGCGCCCTGTATCGAGGAATGGGCCAGGCGGCGGAGCCGAAACCCGCTGCATGCAGCAGACTTCGTAACCCCCTCTTTCCCTATCCCCCCCTTTCGTTCGACCCGAGTATTCGGGTTGGACCTAAACGTTGCTTTTCGTTGCGTTCTCGTTTCGTTATTCGTTTTGCTCAACCTGTTCTCCTGCACTTCCCTGTCAGAGCAAACAAAAAACAAGACACAACCGAAGTCCAGCAACACAGCGTTCAGGTTCAGCCCTGTCACGACTCGAGGGGGTCTCTTGGGCGCCCCTGGACTCGAGGGGCAATGAAAAGGGGGTGGCTGGCTCGGGGGGAGACATCGACCTGGAATCGGCGATACATCGCCGATAGATCGGCAACAGGCCGCCGATTGGAAATCCGCACGTCGGCGATGCATCGGCGACGTCGGCGATGCATCGGCGACTTCGGCTTGGAGAACGTCTGGCTCCGCATCTATCCGCATCGCCGATGCATCGGCGATGCGGCGCGATCCTTCGACTCCATCTGCTCGGACCCAATCTGGGAGTTGGAGGCAGTCGGGTTGATTGAAGGGTCGTTGGGACACACAAATACATACACACAAATAAAAAGGTTCCCAATATTTTCACAGATTTTCGGGTTTTCTGTCTTCCCCCCCCACTTCCCATATTTTCCCGTATTTTCTTTGGAATCGACGATTAATTGTGTGTGTGTGTGTGTTTTTTCCCCTCCTGGTTGATCTGAACCGGATGGGCCCCACCAGAATCGGTCACGACGCCTGCGAAGAACACTCCAGGCCTCCCAGATGGGGTCGGTGCACATGCGGTCGGAGGATCGCGCGCATCGCCGACGCATCCCCGATGCATCGGCAATGCATCGGCGACGTCGGCGACGCATCGGCGCTGCATCGGCTTGGGAAATTCGGGCTCCGCATCGATCCGCATCGCCGATGCATCGGCGATTCGATGCGGTCCTTCGGCTTCATCTTCTTGGACCACATCTGGGAGGCCTGGACATAAGCGATGCAATCAAACACTGAAGGTAAACACGCGCGGTACGGATGCAATGGGCCCCTCGGACGCCGGTGTTGAGTTTCTTTTTCGAGCGCGGCGGGCGAACGGAAGCAGTCAAGGCTGGACCGAAGAGCCATGGATGCAAAGGTACCCTTGCGTTAAGTCGGGCGTGTCCCCCTACAGGGGGATTGTCGACGAGTGGTAAATACCCCCCAAATGCTCCCAAATCGTCAAACAAAAACTCCAAAAATGCTCCTCATATTATTATCTTTTTACTATTGTGGCATATTCCTCCTGTAGCGGGCCCGACTTAACCCTTGCGAAGGCTGCCTTCGCATGGGGAGAAAGTCGGGAGCGGCCAAGAGGGGGGTGTCCAAGACGGGGGGGTGCAAATCATGACCGGCGGCATGTGCGCGGCCCAGCGGGGGGGCCAGGGACGTAATGAAATAAGACGAGGCGCCATGAAATCTGGGGAGATATCATAGCCCCCGCCATGATATCCACCCCCCCCCTAGTCATCACCCCCCTCTTGTCCGCCCCCGAGAAAGGCTCCTGTGGGAGCTGGATCCTGGGCCCCGGGGCCCCTTCT